GCTAGATACGTCTTAGGAAGATTAGAAGGACCGGAGTAGGCTTAAAAATACTAAACTTAATAGCTAACTACTAAACGGACTTTTAGAAAATAACTAACTATATTAGTATATACTATAGATAGATTAAGAGAGGATCTAAAATACTAATAAAGATAAGAAGTAAACGAAAAATAGTCTAAAAAGATTATAGATATATAATAAAGATATATAAAAGCTTATTATTAAAAAATAAGATAAAAAGTAATATAGTTAATACTATAACGATCTACGTCATATATCTTATTTATACCTTCCGATCTCCTAGATTATTTGCTAGTTTCCTTTGTCTCTTATTTGATAGCAATATTACTAAACCTATTTAGGATGTGTAGGTTTAATTAGTTTACATAGTAGATAGGGTATAAAGCTTTGTCTTCTACTAGATCTTTCTCTCTTCTTTCCCTATCTTTAGTTTTCTCGTTATTGTACTCGATTCTCTCGTAGATCGACTAGTAGGTGACATAAAACTAAAGATCCTCTTTACGAAGGCCTATATTGAGAAGGGCACTATTCCGCTTCACAACACTATATAGAGAGTTCACGTGCACTAAGCTTATTCTTAGTGGAAGCCCGTTTTTCGATTTCTCCTTTGGATAGCTTAGTATCGTGCTTCGGACGAATAGAGACTAGGCTGCTCCGGGTTAGTCTAGTAAGCTGAGGCGGAGACCGACTATTCCCTTCTTTTCTTGACTTCCTTTCCTTGATTTTTTCTTCTTTTCTATTATTTCTAGGTATAGATTTCTAGTGTAAGTCTTTTTATTAAATCTCGCTTCCTTCCCTCGATCCTTATTAAAATGGATCAATATCAACAATTTTAATAGCTACGTACCGAGCTACGCGCCGAGCTTTATACCGAGTTTACAGCTATCATCGATAACCTTCAGCAGTAGATTCGATAGCTCGAGGTCTAGTAAGCTACCCCTACCACTTCTTCTACCATTCTCGATTAACTTCGACGCGTTTACGATAATCTAAACAAGACTTAAGAAGCTAAAGATCGACTTCTTTCAATTAAGCAAGATTCTGATACTCTCGCCGCTTATATCGCTAAATTCGAAAGAGTTCTTTACGAAGCTCGAGGATAAGAGTGGCCCGACGTTATAAAAATCTCTACTTTCCGCAAAGGTCTTAATACTTTCCTACGCAATAGACTTTCTTAATAGCTCAATTTACCTCGCACCTATCCCGAATTCCTTAAAATCGTATAGTAGCTCGCCGGTTATAATTTCTAGTCAACTTCTTTAAATAACTATACTGACAAAATAGATATTTCTAGTGTTAACGTTAGCATACTGTAAAGGGATAAGGACGAAATGGACGCCGCTATCAAAGAGCTTAAGGTTAAGGGTACTTTCGACTACGATACTTTTAATTCCGGTCTTTATCCGATATCTAGGGACTAGATGTATTCTTTCGCGGGGAATATATAACGATCCACGTCATATGTCTTGTTTGCACCTTCCGATCTCCTAGATTGTTTGCTAGTTTCCTTTGTCTCTTATTTAATAGTAATATTACTAAACCTATTTAGGATATGTAGGTTTGATTGGTTTATATAGTAGATAGGGTATAAAGCTTTGTCTCCTACTAGATCTTTCTCTCTTCTTTCCCTATCTTTGGTTTTCTCGTTATTATACTCGATTCTCTCGTAGGTCGACTAGTAGATGATAAATACTCTCTAAAGGTATAATATAATAACTACCTATATTAGATAAGTAACCTTTAAGATATATCTATATTCTTACCGCTATATATATAACCTAACCTAAGAAGGCGCCCGAAGCTAACCTATAACCTAACTTATTAATAAAACCTATATTATAAGAGGCGGAAAAAGTAAGAAAGATAGAAAAGGTATAGCGTAAGAAGGACTAAAAAGCGTAACTATACCTATATAGATATTCCGAGTTAAAGTATTCTATATACCTTAAAACCCTATATAATCGTAAGAAACGATATATTTTATATAGGGGTAATATAGGGCGTTAAGATATAAATATTAGTTTAAACGTTAAGCCTAGAATTAACCTAAGAAACGTTAATAACCGCTAATATAAGTAGAGATCTATACTTACTATTATATAAAACTACCGCTTTTTTATATAATAGTTATACTAAAGAGTATTAATATTAATCCCGCTAAAGGGAGGGATATATATATACCTTAGGTTATATCTAAGATAGTCTATATAACGCCGATACTATATACTTATAAAGTTTATAAAGGAGATAATAGCCGGAGGGGCATAATTATTAATAGAGATATATATCGTACTTACGACTAAAGGAAAGGGAGCTACTATAATAAGTCGAAAAGCTATAAGAAGAAAAGTAAAGCGACGAAAAGCTATAAGAAGAAAAAGTGAAAGGATAAAGAAGTGTAGAAAGAAGAAAGCTATAACTCGAAGAGAGATAAGTAAAAAATATATAAAGAACTTAGATTATACGCGACGAAGAGAGATAACGCTTAAAGCTCCGAGTCTATCTACACCTTTTACTATAAAGATAAATTACCCTCTTTTAGATAGCTAGATATATATACTATTTTCGAACCCTCCCTACCTCGACTATAAGAGACCCTCGACCCCCGACCCTTAGCTACGAGGACGTAGCTCTTTAAGGAGGGGGAAAATGTTACGACCCTCTACTAGGAGAGTGCCTTATAGGCTAGATCCCGCCTAGTCCTATAACCTAGAACCCGTGACCTAGTAGGGGTAGTACGACCCCCCGCTAGAGACTACACTAGGAAGACTAAGTCCTACCGGGTCAGGTGACCTAGTCCCGTGACCCGCCAAAGGTCATCTATATAGAGACTACTAGGGGAACTTAGCTCTTTAGCGATTAGTTTATAAATATACCAGCACCCTACTATTTCTTCACTCTAGTTCTATATTACCTACTAGGACCCGCCAGTACGCCGGTCCTAACAGGTCGCGAGTACGACGTATACCTCTATTAATAATTACGCCCCCCGGCCGTCGTCTCCCCTACTAACCCTACGAGTATATAGTATTAGCGTTATATAGACCGTCTTAGATAAAACCCGGCGTATATATATATCCCTCCGCCTAGTAGGATTAACGTTAATACTCCCCGGTACGACTATTATATAAGGAAGCGGTAGTCTTATATAATAGTAAGTATAGACCTCCGCTTATATTAGCGGTTATTAACGTTCCTTAGGTCGATTCTAGGCTCGACGCTTAAACTAATACTTATATCTTAGCGCCCTATACTATCCCCGCGTAGAATATATCGTTCCTTATATATTACGACCCTCTACTAGGAGAGTGCCTTATAGGCTAGATCCCGCCTAGTCCTATAATATTAGGACCGGTGTGCTAGCGGGTCCTAGTAGGTAATATAGAACTAGAGTGAAGGAATAGTAGGGTGCTAATATATTTATAAACTAATCGCTAAAGAGCTAAGTTCCCCTAGTAGTCTCTATATAGATGACCTCTAGCGGGTTATAGGACTAGGTTACCTAACCCGGTAGGACTTAGTCTTCCTAGTGCACTCTCTAGCGGGGGGTTATACTACCCCTACTAGGTCATAGGTTCTAGATCATAGGACTAGGCGGGATCTAGCCTATAAGGCACTCTCCTAGTAGAGGGTCGTAATATCTAAGCTTAAGTCTATATTAGAGTTAAATAACTCTCTATAGTTTAATACTCTAAATAGGGATAAGCTAATTTAATATTTTAATACTAGTTAGTCTTAATATCTATCTCGATTTATTATATCTAACTAATTTTTATATAAATTTAATATTATAGCGTTTATTATCTTATACTTTCTAGAAAGATAACTAATATAAATAGCCTATTCTTATAAGTATTACCTATAATATTATATCTATTCTAGCTATTAATATAAGTATAGAGCGGCTATTTAACTCTATATATAATATTTATTATTATCGACTAGATTCCTTAAAGCTAAAGACGATCTAAGATATTATAATATTTATATATATAATAAGATTTAATCTATAGGAGAACTAGTATCTAATTCTCTAAGAGTATTTAACTTCCTAAGAGATTATAGCTTTAATAGAGGTAAGTAGTATAGATACTACTTTATTTAAACTAATTAGTAATACTAAGGAAGATATAGTTAAATAAACCTAATTACTACCTATTTTATAACTATCCCTATATACTATTCTCGGAAGGAGATAAAGAAGTAGCTTACTAAGTGAAGGTAATGAGATATAATCTAATCTAGAGAATAATATCGATAAAGATAGTAGACTTCCTCTTCCTCGATTATCTAGAAGAGTTCGAAAGGTATTAAGAAGGCTTAATAGATATATAGTAGATAGAAAATAGAATTAAGAATATACTTTAAAAACTTCTATAGCCTTAGAACATTATATAATTATAAAATATTCCCTAAAGAAGTTTAGTCACTATAATTAAGATACTTAAAAATATAAGGCAAATCTATATAAATTATATATATCACGAGATTTACCTATTTGTCCTATTTGTGGACCCGCGGGTAACCCTAAGGGTCACCCTCCGAGGGTCCAACCCCTAGGTGGACTACCCTTAGGGTCGGGAGGTTAGACCCTCGAACCGCCCTAGTGGCGGGGCGGTCCGAGGGTTATAAGGGTCACCCGCGGGTCACTGCCAGGTCTACCTAGGACCCGTGACCTAGTAAGGGTAGTATAACCCCCCACTAGAGAATATATTATAAAGACTAAGTCCTACCGGGTTAGGTGACCTAGTCCTATAACCCGCTAGAGGTTATCCCTATATAGACTACTAGGGGAACTTAGCTCTTTAGCGATTAGTTTATAAATATACTAGCACCCTACTATTCCTTCACTCTAGTTCTACATTACCTGCTAGGACCCGCTAGTACGCCGGTCCTAATATGAGCGATTTACCTATTTAACGACGTAATGCGTAATAGTCTTTGGACGAAGGAATTCCAAATCAATTCTTTCTGAACATTTAGATCTTCTTTGCGATACCCCTTAGTCGCACATACCCTAGCCACTGGCTACCATCCTCACCACGAGTCACCACATCCTGAAGCACACCACAAATCTGCTGAACCGTAGCATCGCGCTTCTCTTCTGGGAGGACATCTAGGAACTGGGCTCCCATTAGTCTAACCCATCCCTCTAGACCTCCCTTCGCATCGCTGGTGAGCTTTGTTGGGCGATATTCAAGCTCAACATTCTCAACCTGGAACCCAACCTCTTCCAAGGCATTTCTCATCCAAGTATCAGACGGGAAAAACCAAGGGCTTGCCTCTCTCGCCTGTTCGATAGGGATACCCTGTTGCACCAGTGCGTACACAAGCGCCGTCTTAGTCTCGGCAACATTACCATGGCCGCCCATCTCGAACACATATGACCCGCCAGACTTCAGACATCCATGGATTGCGCGGAGAGTTGACATACGCGTTGACTCATCGCGCAAGATCCAGTGGAGGGCTGCGTTAGAGATCCTGTCGGCTCGTTAGAAATGGGCCTGCGTATACTTTCTGGCAAATAGTATCATCCAAGGCATACACTTTATCCCATGATCCATTCACAATGGAGGTTTCCTTCTCCAGGTATCTGCAATCCACAACGCGGAAGCTGGCCTTAGGACCTGCGTAGTCTTTGTTGGCTGACTGGATCATCGATGCGGATGAATCGATGCCCAAGACGGAGTCGATAGCAGGAAGGAAATTTGCTGTGAACTTTCCATCGCCGCAGCCCACATCAAGGACCTTGTCTGTTGGCTTGGGGTCTAGGGAGCTGAGGAGCTTTCCGGTGATTTTGGCTGAGTGCACGAAGGACGCAGATGTAGCATATGCCTGAGCTTGTTACTATATATCTGAATGTGATGTTCTGATCAATACATACTTCAGCTGACCAGTGATCCTTCGGACCCTCGACGTTGGATGCCATGATGTATCTGAAAGCTGGGGGTGTGGGGAAGCGGAGAAGTTGTAGTCTTGGCGTCTAGTGTTCATCGAAACTGGGACTTGAGAGACACAGAAGAGGGTTTCAAGGCTTATTTCTTGAGATATGGAATGTTTCTCTGGTCTTTGAAAAGTTCTTTGGGCTCTTTTATATGCTTGCTCCATAGAATGAACGGTTGTCGTATGAGGTATAGTAAGGCCGATATCGGACCGCGGCCGTAGACGTTCATCGTCTGCGACTTCGCATCGCTAAGAGTTATAGGAATCTGGAGAAGATCTAGAACATTAGTCAGTTCTTAGCTCGGCCGATGGCGCAGCATCCTTCATAGCCCGAACGTGGTAATAGAAATTGGACTCCTTGGATGTGTGATGTCCATCTAATGTTGCTAACCGATATTGCCGAAAACGCCAGGGTTTCCCTCGAATCATAGTATTAATTTGACACGCATGACCTGAGAAAAAAGTGAATAACTGTATAGAATGATCAAACAATATATGCACTTATCCCTTAATCTCATTCATCCAAAACAACACCAACGCTTTGCATCCGCCGAGCCTCCTCAGCATCTGCCTCTGATCGTTTATTGATCTCGACCGTGAAGTGTTCAAGCAAGAACTCCGGCAATCCCAGTCCCATCTCATGGTACTTTGAAAGAAACAATGCAGTCAGGCTTTTAAGTTCTTTGATCAAAAATCGCTGTTCATCTCGAATATGTGGAAAATCATCTCGGATCTCAACACGACGAGCCATAGTATACCAATCAGAAATTCTCTCACAGCATGTGTGGGTGAGTTTCAAATGTTCAAAGATGCAAATGCGAAGATAATTGGGGCCAGTGTATCGTAGCATGTGTTCACCAATTCAAGTTGCCTCCGTTCACTTATGAAACGAACGACAGATCCCGTCACGTTCATGCACATTGCCATCTACTTACTAGGGTAAACATGGCGACCCACGGTGGCTTAGAACAACCTTGCCAAGGTGTTAAGCTTTGTAGATCAAACCTTACATATGTCAGCTGTCAGGTCGATCTACACGAGAAAAACAAAGATGGGGAAAGGAAAGACAGAGAGAGAGCAGATGGGGGATCTTATAACTGCCGCTGTCCCCTTTGCAGACCTATCAAACATCCATAAGGGATCCCAACTAGGCTTAGTAATCTTGGAATAGCAAACAAACTACTCCATACACTGGCAATCTAGGAGAGGGGCAAACAAGGCAAACAAGGCAAAATAGGAGACAGGTGATAGCTGATTATCACAACATACAGTACGGAGTACACGGTATATATGTTTTATGTACTCCGTACTCCGTACATGTAGTCCGTACCTGCAAAAAGCCATCGGCACAAGGAATCATGGAGTCGGTGAGCTCCGAAAATTGTGATATGTATTCCGTGTGTTGGGAGCTTAGGGAAACCCTTTCAGCTCGCCCACCACAGACCCAACACTAAACTCATTACGGAGTAGGTATGGAGAAGTCCCTAATGTACTCCGTACGAGTACTCCGTATACTGATGTACCCCACTTTGATTGATCTCGCGTGGATGTTTTTTTCTTTGGCTGCCCGCTGATAGACCCAGTACCCATATTATAAGGGCATAGGACATCTAATAGGAGCTGTCATATTTTTGACATGAACAGTAATTGTGTCCAAAAAGAACAAAAAAAAGTGATTTACTTGCCTCACGATGGTTTCCTTTTCCCCCCTTTTCCTTTTAAGCTGAATACGAAGTAAGAAGTACCCGTAGCTTTGAATGGCAGTACATATAAATCGAGTCCTCACACCCGGGCGTACCGGTAAAGCCACGTTTGATTTGGACAAAAGCACGGTGAAGCTGAGACACGTAAGACAGTAGCTGAAGAGTCCCATACTCCGTACTCCGTATACCATCCCCAATACGAACTAGTAATGGGGTCAAGCAATGATATCCGGAATTGATCGGCGAACATCATGTTGTGGCGCTCAAATATCTTCCTGGCGTGCGATGTCTCCGTATGTTGTGAAAAATTACAAGCCCCAGTCGGAATGATTCGTATTTTAATCTTTGCTCTCTTGTATGATTAATCCCCGAGACCTCCTACATGAACCTTTACTCACGACAGACATCTTTAGAACCTTATTTCATTTTCTACTATCATGGCTTCAGAAACCTACCAAATTCCAGAGGTTTTGGCTGTTGCACAACTCCACCCTTTCTATGTCCCTTCAGTCAAATACCCACCTGATGCAGAGACCATCAAAAGGGCCCAAGACCAAGCGAGACGCAATGTCGAGAAGTTCGATCTCAGCTCCCAGGGCTTCCTGTATAAGAAAGACCTGTATGTTATGCATACCTGTCCCATGAATCAAATTGTCTAACGTTCCCAAAGTTTCCATACTGTTGATCGCCTCGTGAATGACCTAAGTCCCGAGAACACCTATCGTAGAAGCTGCTACACAAGCATGACGGGCGGTGGATCGGGTGGAGCTCAATTGCTTTTTGTAACAGATGTGCATGAAAATCGCAGGCATCGGGCCTATTTTGGCAAATTCCTAAAGGCAACCGGCATTGTCGAGGAAACGGATTGGATTCTAACTACTCACTTTGAAGGCCATATCTATCGGTAAGTTTTCGATAAATTAATACGGAATGACGCATTGATCTAATGTTGCTTTCAAAGATCCATGGACCTCATGGCCGAGCTCTTTGAAAATGGGGGCGCCAGCGTGCTGTGTGGTGGCAGTTATATGTCTACCACCGAGGTTGTGAAGGCCCTAGTTGACTACCATGTCAATGCCCTAGCTGGAGAAAGCAGCCAAATCATCAATACAGTTCAGTACATCTCAACCCTTTCCCAAGAACAGAGAGATCGAATCAAGATCCAAAAGGTGATCTATACCTCGGAGATGTTAACCCCCGCTCAACGGTCATTCATTCGGGAAATCATCGGAAGCGTCAAGATTTACTCCGTGTATGGCAGCGCTGAAGCCGGCCCTTGGGCGGCCAGTAGCCCCGACCTGCTAGAGCAAGGCTCCGGAGTCTCGCAAGATTTCATTTTTGATACACGCTCAATGGTGGTCGAGATTTTGGACCCTTCAATCATGGAAACGCATCATGGCTCTTCCATTGCTCCCCAGTCAATGCCGGATGGAGAACGTGGGATAATTGTCCAGACCTCTCTAAATCGTCTACGGAACCCGCTCGTCCGATATGTCACGGGAGATATGGGCTCAATTCATCCGTTGCCAGAAAGTGTTCGGTCACGCATGTCCGATGCGGATTCGCAATTCTTGCACGTTCTCCGCCTATATGGTCGTGATCGACGGTTCAGCTTCGAGTGGGACGGAATGTATTTTGAATTTGAGAACCTCGCTGCTCTTCTGGGTCATGAGGAATGTGGAGTGTTGCAATGGCAGGTCATCTTGGACCGACTGGACTCCTGCCCGAGATCTACCATCGAGGTTCGCGTTTTCAGGTCATCGCATGACCCATCATTGCTATCAGAGGCGGATCTGAAAGAGCGGATTATGAATTTCTTCAATGTCTGTCCCGGTAATGAACCTTGGATATGTGTTACCTTGGTCGAAGACAGAAAGGACTTTGTGCGCAGTGCCACTGGGGACAAAATCCTCAAATTCGTGGATAGATTCAACTGATATATTCCTACTAGATATATTTCACTTCCGAGACACAATAGTCAGTTTGAGGTTATCTGAGCCTCTTCGGCAACCATGGAACTGCCGTTCTGATTTATTCATCCACAAGATATGCTTTATACACCATCTGAAATTATTATGATGGTATTTATGCAGTCATTTAAACGGCCAGTTCTGGTGATTCATACTCGAGACAACATAAGCGTCCGTATTTGCTTCTGGTGCCGTGTATACTGAAGATGTCGAGTCCGAATCCGAATCTGAGGGATCACCAACGATATCCCGAGCACGTTCAGATGGCTCTTCGGACCTCCAAGTCGGAAGCTCACTTGCGTGCTGAGGAGGAATTGTTCTAGGAGTGCGACTCTCTTGATTGGGATCATGTGACTGCACTGGTGTATCGGCGGCAGAGCCTCTAGACCTCGAGGAGCGAGACAGTATCCCCGAAGATCTCTGGGTAATTTGAGAAAGAAAGACTGGGATCTGATAAGGAGTGAAGGTCGCCGACACTAGTGGCTTTTCTCTAGGTGGAGGCCGACTAAAAATCCTCCTAGCAGGATCTTGTTCAAGTTGACGTATAGGAGATACCCCACGGGAATCATTGCTAACGGATGAATTTTCCACATTTGCTGGCGGTGACATTTTCTTATCGGGTCGCCTACGAATATGCCAAACGGAATCGATGGACTGTGGAGGCTCAGACCGATAGCTACGCTCAGGAGTTGTTGAACGGCTGCTAGGCAGACCCTGCTCTAAGGTTGCAGGTAGCTCTTGAGGCAAAAAGCTTTCGCGGTCTCGTGAATCGCGAGACTCGAAATGTTGAGTGGGACAATGCCCCTGATCCACATTCTGGGGCATACTTGAAGTATGACTTGGATGCATCAGCCTAGAGCCAGGCAAAGCCTGGTTGAGAAGTTCTCTCACCCGCGCCTTGCATTCCTCAGAGACAATGGGATCTGGCGAGAACCCAATTGTCTCCGGCATGCGAACGATATCTGGGACATCTATGTCGGGTATAATTGTGCGAGCCAAGAGCGCCTGAAGTACATCCAGATGGCCATGATATGCCGCATAGCGAAATGGCTGCCAGCCGCCCTCGTCCTTTTTGGATGCCGATGCGCCGCGCTCTAGTAGCAGCGAGACCACATTTAAATGGCCTGCCATGGCAGCCAGGCATAGAGGAGAGTCACTGCGTGACGTAGCTTGGTTCTTCTGGTAGAGAGGGGATCCTCGATCTAAAAGCGTTTGTACTGCAGCCACATGTCCATGGCGACATGCTACACTAAGCGGCCGATCTCCAACGCTGTCCCGGGCATCTAAAGAAGCTCCTTTATCACAAAGAAGTGCCAGAAGGCGTATTGAGCTCCGCGCTGCTGCGATATGCAAAGGTCTTTGCTGATGTTGATATTCCAATGCTTCAATATCAGCGCCCTCTAAAAGTAACAGCGTTGCTATCTCGATACTGTCTGCCATACAGGCATAATGAAGCGGAGTAAGACCTATTGCACATTGGCTGTTGACGCCGCCACCCTTGCGTAGTAATGACTCAACGACAGCAAATTGGGTCTGAATAACGGACAAATGCAAAGCCGTCTGTCCCATTGCATTAATCCTAGTCAGAGATCCTTTCTTCTGACTCAGGATTTCCACTGTCTCTTCATGGCCATTGTAGGCAGCCCAATGCAGGGCAGTCATCCCGTTGTCATCCGTGCCACTTGACGAAGCCTTTTGTTTGGATTTCAATAGGAATTCGACAGCCTGGGACCGGCCTGCTTCGGCAGCACATATCAATGGTGTCTTGCGATCACGACCGGCAGCTTCTATATTAGCTTTGTGAGCCAGAAGCACTGCAATAGCTTCGACATGGCCTGCTTCACATGCATAGTGCAATGCCGACATCATGCTAGCGTCCTTGGCCTCGATATCAGCGCCGTTTGACACGAGCATGTACACAATTTCCGCATCACCTCGCTTTGCCGCAGTGTGTAAAGTAGTCATTTGATTCTCAGCACGAGCGTTGACCTTTGCATTATACATAAGCAGCATTTTTAGGGCATCGTGTTGGCTTCGGTCAACAGCAATTCGCAGTGCTGTACGACCTTGATGATTTGGAACCTCGGCTATGTCGCTCTCCTCCATGAGTAAGCTTATGACACCGCAATGCCCACGCGAAGCTGCGAGATGTAGTGCGGTCCAGCCAGACCCATCGGTCACATCTAGTCGAGCATGATGCCGAATCAAAAGCTCAACAACATCATCTTTTCCGCAGTGCGCAGCAACAAGCATTGCATTTCGACCTGACTTTTTATGGCGCTCTTCAATTTTAACGCCAAATTCGATGAGTTTTGCTACCTCACCTTCGGAACCGGCTTGGGCAGCCTTCACAATCTGTGGAATAGAGGCAGCATCCACGCCGGTCAGATCAATGCTGATATGGGGATTTTGCTCTCGTCTAGGCTTCACCCTTGTGAAAGGTGTGCCATTGCCTAATTTGGGTGAGGGCTTGGAAGACGAAGAGGCAATATTTAGACGACTAGAGGTATTCAAGCGAAGGAAAGAGGATATCCTTTCAAGCTTAGAAGAAGATCTCTCAAGTGTCTGCGATGTCTTGGTATCTGACTTGCTCCGGTACATATTCTGCAAGCCTGGACGCGGCGCATCTTGGTAAGATTTTGCTCTCCTGTGAGCTGGATGTGCTGGCGCTGATGGACCTGTGGGCAAGAGAAGCTGATTCTGGGGGTGTGGAGCAGCATCAAGTGACGGCATCTTAACGCTGTTATTGCGTGTAGGGTTGTCTGTATAGCCGTCGTCTGTGAATGAGCTTTGGCCATTGCCGATGCCGGTCTGGCTACTAAAGGCTCCAGTTGATGGTACGAGGTCCTGGGGTAAACTGCGATGTACCGACAAATCTGCTAGAGCATCGTTGAAATCGTAAACTCGGTCACTGGCTGTGAAACTGCTGTTCTGCGACATGCTTGCCGCGCTAGACATCGTCTGACTCCGTGCGGATATCAGTGTTTCGGTATCGTCGCGAACCCTGCGCATGATGCGATGAGTCGTTGCCTGTCTCAACAAGCGGAGCTGCTCTTGTGATGTATGACTTGAAGGATTGTAAGCTTCTGTGTGGTTTCCAGACATGAGGGGATACTCTCACCACTGGCAGACTTGGAGTAATAGCTGCAACGCCATCACTTGCGCGTGTAGTTTCTCCTGGTATCCTTTCATGATATCTTCGTTCCAAATGACTCTAATGCGCGATCTAAATCCAAGGGTGCTGCCATTGCGGGTGCCGTGAACCAAAGTCCTCGCATCCTGAGACAGAACTTCCATGATGATTAGGCAGCCATTAATGGCTGTAAAGAGCTGTTTCTTGAATTCCCCCGATGACATCGTATTGGGAGAACTGAGCCGTTCCCATTCCTTCAGACCCGTGATTGCTGTCTCGATACAGGCCAACTCCTGGAGAAGCGAATGGATTGTAAAGTCAGCATCGCTGAACTTCCCATGTAGTTCATGGAGGTCATGAATAGTCGAAGTAAGCGCGCCTAGAATCTGAATAATTGCAGAAGCAAGCCCAATCCCGGATACTGGGTCCATGGGGGACTCGAGATATGAAGGACAGAGACATCGCGGGGGTTGAGGGGGCTGAGGGGTGCTGGGATGATTAGCGCCAGATCACATGGGGGGCCGATGCATGGGGACAACATACTTCGCTATGGGGTTTTTGCACTGTGCTCACTTAAGATGAACACGCCAACTACCTAACTAATACGAGCCTTATTCCAGGGCTCCAGCACAGTTATTGAGACCTGCGGATGTGGGACTCCGGGAGGAGGGAGAGAGTTGTATTGGGAAAGAAGGCGGAGCTCCCGACTGATGTATAATTGTGGTCACTTATATTTCGACCCCCCCCTGTCAGCTATATCGACCCCCCTTCCACCTATATCGACCCCTCCATTGCCTAAATAGGTTAACAGATTACCCTAATTAGCTAGCATATTTCAGAGATCATATCAGGCTTAGCGTGAGGGCTATCATTTAAACGCTAGTAATCTTGGCAGTATGCCCCCAGTATGATCTGTGGAGTGCATCTGGTAAAAATCTTGAAAGCATCATGGAGCCATGTGATCCAAAAACAGATGCTGATTTTCAAAAATACTGCTAATCAACTATTTGGCTCCCTCCTCGCTACCTTTGATATTTGCTAACATTGCAGTCTAAAAGAACTCCATTTTTCATTTAATTACATTAAAATCCCTGCACTAAGGTAAGTCCATCTCGGATACTATGGTATTTACTAGGGGTAGGAGGCTTCCGACGCTTCCGTGTACCACTTTGCTCGCTGCGACCGTCACTAAGGATTAGGTTATGATCATGACTTCTCCGGACCCCTGATGATTGTGTACTCCTCTGCAACTCCGCAGATCGTACGGAGTACTGGGGGCATACTGCTAAGATTACTAGCGTTTAAATGATAGCCCTCACGCTAAGCCTGATATGATCTCTGAAATATGCTAGCTAATTAGGGTAATCCGCTAACCTATTTAGGCAATGGAGGGGTCGATATAGCTGACAGGGGGGGTCGAAATATAAGTGACCATAATTGTGATGTCTGAGGCACCAAGGCACCAACCACTTTCTCAACATCGGCTACTCCGTACGCCATAACGAATGACCCCCCGACCGCTGGATAACCCTTGTGTTGATGCACCCCTGTCTCTCCACCTTTCGGGTATATCCCTCGACCCGCTTCCAAATTTGCGCACTATGCACGGAGTACTCCGTAGTCACCACAAGCAGCCCCACGGTTCCTAATTAGAGGTCTTTTTGTTGAGATGCCTGCTGATGCCTGATCTTTGAGGTAGCGTCTTGGGTGACAGACCGATGTATTTGACAGATTGATCTTTGCAGTTGGCTCGTTTGCTAGTTTTTACTCTCTGTGAACCATAAAGTCCCCACTATCTCTAGCTTTTAGAGAATATAGCTGGCCCCCCTGTTCTTTCTCTCTCTCTCCCTAGCAATAGCCTCATCACCTTCAATTTCTACCCTCCAATCGTCTTTTTTGACCCGTTTCCCAAGACTCTTGACTTCGGCTAGGTCAGTGGAGTGGGCCTTATGATGAACCCTCTTAAACAGATGGAGCCGTCATATAGTCACTTTACAGCTGAGCTGCAAGGGGAAGCGAGCGACAAGAAAGCTATTAGGACTGAGTAGATTACGGAGTAGTGAACCCCGATGTTTGCGCCTTTGCTAGCTTATTTCAGTACCGTACGGGCATTGTTTAAAGTTCATGAAGAAAGCCACTGCCCTTGGTCGATCTTTGCCAATTCTTTGCACAATTGGTTCGGCTGAATGGTCAGCTATCCCTCATCGATTGACCCACTTAGCTGCGTAGCACGGGTACATAGTAGGTTCACTTCGGCATTCCGATTGCCGGTACCTGTATTGCGGAATGTGTATTTCTTCTTTGCTCCGCTGTATTTTCCTAGTGTACACACTGTGGAGTACGAAGCCGAAGAAGTTTAGATTATTAAATAGCGGCCAAGGTGGGTACCAGCTCTGTAAATGACAGCCAAGAGTCACCGGGGAGAAGACTGTCTGTTCAAGTTATATTCCCTCCATGAAAACTGTTGACTGTGCTTCAATTTTAAATTCTTCAAATCTGGTGTCTCGTGTTTTTGCATTATGGCGCATTTGTTCCAAAGCTTTCGCGCATCTAGGCTAAAGGGTAGGCGATATTCTACTTGGCCAATTCGTAAATATTGCCCTTTCTTATTCTTTGTATCTCCGATTGATTTTAAAGTGCTGACAGTGCAAAGGCTCACAGAAGGTATCCAGCTTAATACCTCTGATCGATGTCCCCAATCGAACTCTCACACACGACCCGGTCCATGTCGGAGCTGTCCACTCTCTCCTCAAGACGAAAGGAGCTCTTCAAATTCAACTTGGCTTTGATGATGACGAAAGCTTATACATGCAAGAGCTTATTCTGAACCTTCACAAACACTGTCAACACGGACTTCCTATAACGCACAGTGCAGAACGCGGATGGTTTTGGGATGTTCGGCCGTCTCCAGAAAAGTTTCAGAGCCATAACCACCAAGCACGATCAGAGACAATGCATCGCTTTGACTGGCATACCGACTGCAGTTATGAAGAACATCCTCCACAATACTTCGGCCTTCAAGTAATTCAACCCGATCGTTGTGGTGGCGGAACATTGTCGGTATTAAATGTTGATCGGCTGTTGGGCTTACTCTCCCCCTTCGCCAAAGAATTGCTCTCAAGCCCAAAATACCAAATCGAGGTTCCTCCAGAGTTCATCAAGAACCCCGAGAAACGATCCATTGTTGGTAATTTGTTGGCAATACAACCAGGGAGCGAAACCGGCTGCAAACTGCGATTCCGGGAAGATATCATCACTCCCTTGACTGCCGATGCGTCACAAGCATTGGAGGAGTTGAAATATACCCTATATACAGATGAAGCGCAAGAACAGGCGATCCATTTGACGCCGGAGACCCTGCCTCGTGGATCGATTATCATGATGGACAACCATCGATGGCTTCATGCAAGAAATGAGATCAACGATCCCAATCGTCACCTCCGCAGAGTCCGATGGAATCCGACTCCATTCCAGTCTTCACACCAATAAGACCTTTTTGGCTTGGTCATAGGGCTCATTTTCACTTGCAATATTTTATATTGAGAATTCACTGTTAGTTCCTCATTTGAAAAATTCACCTCGCTTTCCGATAGCTGATTTTTGAATGAACAGATGGAGATATTTAATCGTCGCACTCCCTGCTGGTATGGGTGTATACGCACAGGTGATAGACAGTGCACTGTACTTCGGTTTTGGAACAACATTAATTCTAGCGCGCGGAAATAAAAGCAAAGATAACTTAAATCTATACCGTTATATACCCGTAAAGCTACGTCTAAAATACAGGTACCTAACAAGGAATGTATACTGACTTTCCACCCTCCACTTTTTATGGAATGCAGTGCATATTTCCGAGACAGTGGCGCAGATCAATGCCTATGCAATATCCATCTGATCACCGAAACCCTTTCGAATGGCAAGGAACCATGTACATGCATGCAACTTAAAGGGGTTTATGTTACTTGGTATATACATATCATTTGCGATTCGCAGGAATTCGCTTGCAAAAGAAGATCTCTACCCAGGCCTTACAATTGTGTCGGCCAGGTGCTCGAATATTGCAATCTAATTCAATACGAATCTCTCCGACGGGGAATTGACAAGCGATACCTTGACAAGACCGTCGACAATAAGAACCTCTTAACAGTTGAAAATGCCGACTCTTCAAGACATATCCGATTGGCGCTCTTCCAAATGGTTCATCGTTGGAACCATTATTGTCGCTTTATTTAGCGGTCGGTTGATACTTTGCTGTTTATATTTTGAAGAAGCAAATGCTGATTTGAGTCATCTAGAGACATTTCTCTATGCATTCATTGTTCCGATTTTAGGGCACATGAGCGAGAACCGTCTACATATAGACCCCTCTCATACACAAAGTCTCACTACCACCGTCCTCGCTTTTCATGGGATGATTGCCGTTATCTCGGGTCCTGTTATCGGACATTTCGCCGATAAATTTGAAAGCCGCAAGAACCAACTCCTTATATCGATAATTGTTTGTATCATTGGTACTCTGGTTGTTGCCAGCGCTTATTCAGTCACTATACTCTTGATTGGCCGGGCACTGCAAGGTGTAGCGGAGTCTATGGTATGGATTGTCGGCCTAGCAGCAGTGACCGAGATCGTCGATGCAAATCAAATAGGTACAGTGATGGGGTTTCTAACCTCGTTAATCAACACAGGGATGCTGGTAGGGCCCTTGGCTTCTGGATTCCTAGTAGAGAACACAAGCTGGTGGATTATGTGGTCCATACCGCTCAGTGTTCTGGCATTGGATCTCCTCGCGCGTGTGATAATGTGTGATCCTCCCCCGAAGGAAGACCACAAGCCTGAGAATGAAGAAGAAGCAGCAAACTTGCTTTCTGGTCTAGAGCATGAAGAACCTTTGTCAACTGAATCGAACTTTTGGAAGGTTATGATGTGCGACAAGCGCGTCCTGACACTGTTGCTGGTTGGAATCACTTCCATGGCTGTCAGTTCGAGTTTTCATGCGACAATTCCTCTCCATGTAGAAGAGGCTTTTGGATGGGGCCCCAGCGAGACTGGACTCATATTTGGGTGCCTCGTATTTCCAATCCTTTTCATCAGTCCTATCGCGGGCTGGGTTCGCGACAGAGTTGGGGTACGAATCCCTGCTACAGTCTCCTTGGTCATGCAGGCAGTGATGCTTGTCCTAGCGGGAGTTTCTGGAAAGATTCGCTTCCCGGGGGATACCCACAACCACGTTGGACCGGCGCTCTACATTATCTCGCTCCTTGGTGGCAGTGCATTTAGGCCCTTCACGTCGACTATCGGACCGGCCGAGTTGTCTAGTGAGATCCCATGTCCTATCTTTTTATCAACATGCTAATAGTGAATTGTAGCTATCGTGAGAGAGTACCAATCCAGGACCCCGGGGATTTTTGGTCCGCAAGGAGGCCTCTCGCGTGTGTTTTCTATGGTTGATGTTTCGGCCAGTCTTGGGATGACGCTCGGCCCGATGTTCGGAGGTATTCTGAAAGAGACGATAGGTTATACCTACATGACTTTGGTTTTCGGTAAATATATTGGTCGCTCTTGTGCGAAACACAGCTAACCTCCACTAGGTATCATAAACCTAGCTCTCGCTGTGCCTGTATTCATCTACCTACGGCCTAGCGACATGGATGACAACATCCCTCAAGAGATAGAATTAAAGGGGCCAGGGAACACCACGGAGTCTAAAGATGTTTGAATAAGACTTCACTTCCAATGCAGTCTCGTTCAAAGTTTGAAGGCCTCCGGGTATTTTTTTTTTAACCCGATGCTTTGTGAGCTCAACCCGATGTTTAATAATGACCACTGACTATGTCTTCGAGAGCACGACCGCTATAGTCGTGGCCTTGTCATGTTGTTGTATGTTCTCCTTGTACATAGTATAGATCAGTTCAATCCATGTATTATACTCACCGATCAGTAGCCAAGGCACCACATAATTGTTATTGTCAATGCCGCATACCAAAGATGTGGTGTTGCATCTTAGTATACTCACCGCTATCTCTTAGCCTGGGCATCTGCGGATAAATTCAAAGTTTAGTGTAGGCTTTAGGGCTCGAAAAGCCCCTGGTAACACGCCAAACATACGTTGCCAAGCCGGCAATAAATACGGTACAGTAACACAGAGATCGTCGCCGACCCACTCCGATCGTCTCCGGTCGCCCCACAGGGCAGAGTCCGGTATCCACACGTGTGGCTAGCTGGAGGGCATCTCTCCTTACGGTATTGTGGATTCTCAAAAGCATTGTTGATTTTCTGGTATGCACATGTCTCCTGCTACTCCGTACGGAGTACTGATCATCATGTCGTGTTTGCTCAACAAACTGGAACCTGACTGGACCCAAGTGCGATTTCTGATGGAAATAGAGCCTGAAGGCCCCTCGCATTGAGATTGAGTTAAATACGATGGCTCCGATTTATAAAATACCTGTTAACATGCAGGGTAATAAATAGCGTATCTAAATACCGATCAAGTATCTGAATGAGCAATACTATAACAGTACTCTAGGCTTCGTGGCTCTGTTGCCTTCCTCTCTTTTTCTCGGGCAATTGCCCTGGATACTATTGGATCTACTGGGTTTGAACGGCTTCTCTTTTCTTGATTCTTGTGTTTATTTTTTCTCTTTTTCCAACAACAATTTTCTTTTTGCGTCTCCCAACTTGGTACGGAGTACACTGCTCACAGTTGTTCATCAAGGGAACAAAGTCTTGCTCTTCCTGTGGTCTCTATCATTAGGTTTTAGAGCGCGTTTGAATAGGTCCGTCAGGCCCGAATTGAAGGAAAATAAGGCGTGTGCAACTCAGACCTTTCCAAACGAGCTTCTGTTTGCATGATTGAAGCAATTTCTCAAGAGAGGCCCGCAGAACTGTTCAGTCATAAATATAGAATTAATACAGGTTATAAAGAGTTGATTCGGGATGTCATACACTTCCATCGAGTTTTACGAGAAACCCCTCCAAGTACTTCTCTTGATAATAAGGGACTTCCACGAAAGCATGGTGCTTCTATAGCCTTTCTTGCTTTCACTGGCTAGTACTAGATGGCAAGCCGGAGTATTTCTCGGATTTTGTCACGACACTAGAGGAATAGTGGCTGCCCTTACGAGAATCGGCAAACAGGATATGATTGAAAGGTTGGACATCAATCTAAAGATCATACGCGGCAACTGTGGATGGTGTGGAGTATTCGAGCCAACTCAATTCCGCTACTTCGACACGTCTATGCAGCTAATATGGTATATAAAGATCAGATAAATCTGCCGCAGTCATATATCTTGGGTGTGGGAGGCCTTGCACTGAAGAAAGCCCAAATTATGAATGGAAGTCTATCACGTTTTGGTCTTCACCACCTGGATTTAGACCACTATGTCGTCTTCGAAAAGCCAGATCCTTGGATGATCGCCGATATGGCCGAAAAGAAGGAGCACGAGAAGCCAATCATCCCATCGTCGATCTTCGATGTCCCTTAGCCTAGTCAAAAGCCCCCTTCTCTAGATTTTCAACCTTTCTAGACGTTGAGAGGCGTTTGCTTTGAGCAGTACATTATCTATCCAATCGCCTAGTTCACCGACCCTAAAAAGGCGGGAAGGTGGTCTCGTAGGTGATCGAGGGGTGCTCAAAGTTAAATGGTCAGCCAGAGAGGAGCTCCACAAAGCATAAGAAGAAGCTTATATAGCTAACCAATCACACATATCCAGAAGGTAAGCATCTTTATCTACGATCGTCACACCTCATATGACGTCATTCGGCGGAACGCGCGGAAATAAACGCGGAACGAATGGATCCACGTTGGGCATATTTTCACCAACATTTAGCAGTTGATTCTCACAAGGTTGCTTTGTTTCAATATCTGTGAAAGTACTACCAGCCAATCAAAAACCATGTCTTACCAAGGCTACTGCAATTGCCAGAGTATTCGCATCACTCTCGCCCAGCAACCTCCCAACACGGTTGTTTGCCATTGGTATGAAATCCACCCCGCAAGCTGTAGGGTTCATATGCTCAATCTTATATAGCGATTGTTGCAAGCGATCCGGTGGTAGTGGTAAGTGGTCATGCTATCTCGAGCAAATCACGTACCTTTGGCTGATATCCAACTTAGCATTTTCTCTCAACTACCTCGTTGATGCGGATGCTATGACTGTTGAGGATCCCAATGCGACATTGAAGGTGTACGACGACAAAAAGTCTGCCAGTGGAAATATTGTGAAGGTAAAAAACCCCCGAATTGATCAATCTGCGCATATTGCAAGGTTTCTCGCGGACTGAACGAAAGACTAATATATAATTCCAAAATAGCGTCATTTCTGTTCTAACTGTGGAAGGTATGTGAGAATATCAGTATCTCAATAGCAATAGCTGACATCCACTACAGTGCGGTGTTTACTAAGACACCTAAGCTCCCCGGAAAAGCGTTTTTGAAGGCTTCCTTGTTCGAGACGGTCTCCCCTCCTACCGCCGAGGTATTTGACCAGAAACAATTCCCATGGGTAACTATCCAAAAACCCGCAGAAAAATAGGCATGAGAGATACTCGAAGATAGAATATTTAGAGATGGGATCTGTTAAGCCGATTGCATCAATAGACGGAATCTATACAAAAATCGATATAGACTTACGATGCACACGTAGTACAGCCTGGTTGATTGCGTGTGATGGTGCAATACCCCACATGCATCTTATTGGCCATCGTCATTTTAAGCAAATGCATTGATCTGCTGCAACCTTGTATACCATAGGTTAACCATCTTGTTGACAAAATTCCCAACTTCTGCCACAATGAAATTGCGGGGAAAATCTGACGTCGATCCGCGGACACCCTGCTTTGACCCTTTCACCCCTCAAAAGCCTCTTTCAAGATAACCATGCCGCCCGTCCCGGGCTAAGCACCACCTTTATCAGAATGGCAGAAGTATCCAGCCAAGTCTGTACACCCAGACAAGCCTCGGGGGCCGATTCGCGGGACTTCCGATCGCGCGAAGACAATGTGGATCCCGAGGCCCACGAGCTACAGGAGATCCAAACTCGCGAAGACTACGAACTTGAAAATTTAACACCATCTGCTTCATCCGGCGATGAGTATCATATTGTAACGCGTCGTACTACATCGCAGGCTCTAGCAGCACAGGCTGAGGCGCGGCGGCGTCGGAGAGCGAGACAGGGGGTTTGGGGGAAGTTTACTCGGTTTTGGACGCACAATGTTACTCTGACTGTGCCGTTGAAGAGTAATCGGGATTATCTTGGTACGTGTCTTGTTCATATATGTGGGGTTTTGTTATGTTGATGTGGTTCGAAGCTTTGGAGAGAACATTCCTTGCTTATATTCGGACTTCGGTTGTTGTTACGCAGCAAGGCGTGTTGATCGCGCAGCTGTTTCGTCTGCAGGGACTCAAATCCTGGACGGACCATCTTGGGTTTCAGCGGGTTGGTATGCCGCTTTCGATTTCTTGTTATTGTGTGGGTATTTTCGTGGCTTTTATTGGGGCGTATCGGTTCTGGAAACAGCAGCATGCGATTGCTAGGGGTAAGATCTATGCTGGAGGAGTGGAGCTGCAATCTGTAGGAATACTGCTGGGCTGTGTGAGTGCAATGGTTCTGATCTTGGGGATATAGCTGATACTGGCCAGATAACCTTAGTATTGTTTGTTGTTTCCATCGCTATCGCAGTTGAGCGTCGCCCAAATTCGTCTGTACTTGTTGAGTGAACGCAGGGCAGATGAGTGATGACGGAGTATTGGGAGAGCTAAAAGAAATAGCTTTTTTTTGGCCTTTGTGATTGTGTCGCTGGCCATTAGCTGAGCCTCATTTTTGAGCAGATAAACTTTAAGCTTAATGGCTTCTTGCATGTTTCTCTCTATGCTGCTGACGATGATAATCATGACCTGATTCACACCATATAGCTCGCCTTATATACATACTGCTATCCAGGATAGCATCGCGAGGCCACTTTGACAATAACCAATGGTGGTGCATCCCAAGTATGCAACGCCACCCTAGAGATCAGTCCTCGAGGCGTCGTGGACGCCTCGAGGACTAACCACCTGAAAGGTAAGGCCACACCGGCCAGTAGTGCAAACAGGACAAACTAAATTGTGAAAACAAAGGCAATGAGACTCCCTATCTGCCAAAGCAGCAAGAACAAAACCTCAATGATCGAGTTTATTCAATGCAATGAATTGTCTATTAAACAGTTAGACTAAATTATATGTACAGAATTGTAACCCGCCCGCCATTATCATAAAAAAGAAGATTCGTGAATGTGCATCAGAGCATCATGGTCATCACTAAATCATCCGAACGCCCACAACATCAATAAGAAACACGGAAATCCTCTTGAATCAAAGCCCATTTTCTAGCGACCTCTGCGCGTTCGTCAGCTGTCGCTTCTTGCATTTCCTGGCGGCCTTGGTCTATGCGAGACGTGATGATGTCGCCATCCACGTTCTTGCCCAGTGAGATTTGAAGCTCTCGGCGTAGTCCAACCAAGGGATATCCAGCAAGTCCCCAAAGACCTATGATTATACAAGTTAGGATCATCTGTGCACATAGAGAGAATGAATACATATGTGGCTCATCACATATAGCTTACCTGCTGGTGGCTTGAAGAAAAGACCACTAACTCCTTTCACCATGCCCTTGGCCATGCCCTTCGCACCCTCCTCTTGGAAGCCGGTCCGGGGTTGCGTGACCACACCCTTGATCCCGTAGCAAAAGCCGTCTCGTAATTCCTATGTTCATGTTCAAATTAACGGCCCGCTCGGCACCTGTGCGCTTGGATTATGGCATACCGTTCTAGCTGCTGTCAAACCGCTACGGAATCCGCTTACCTTCGGTGTAGCTTTGACAGTCCGGTCGTGGTACAATTTAGGTGCATTGTGGAATCCCTTTGACAGACTGAGTGTCAAGTCCGTTGGGAGCCAGATTATGGTTTTCAAAAGCTTCTTCGACATTCGACTTCCGTGAGTCCGGATCTCGTAGCCTACGCCCTTTCGCTCGGGTGGAATCACAGAGCTCATTGTTCGGGTGAGCTCTAGCTCTAGGCTTTGTCGCTGGTCGGGATGATTTGTTGGTAGATTATCGTTCACTTCATCGTCGATACCATCGATACTTATTTCATCATCGGTTGACTGCCGATGTTTATGATGCTTGGCGGGGTTGTGAAATTCCCCCTAGTGCTATCCAAGCTTGACCCTTGGCTTCTTCGGTGCTTTTTCCATGCAAATGAAGATGTTGGATCGATGTGTTCTTGTGGATGACTTATCGCTCGACCTGCGGAGACAATGTCCGAGGCCATTTCATAAGGTAGCTCGCCAATCCCTGTGATAAAGTGTGCAATCGCGCCAAGTAGTACTTGCGCACTTGCGCTTATTGGACCAACAGGATCGCGATATGTGTCGTATTCTGATGGTCGATTTCTGGAGCAGTGGTTAGTCAGTTCTCCAATGTTGTCGCGGGTCAGCTTACAAAACGACATTCTCTGGTTTGAGCCTGCCGGTTTCGACTAGTACTGCAGCAGCAAAAGCACTAAGTGCGATTGAAGTTTGCTTCACATGCCACACAGCAGGGCGATCCGGGCATATGGCGCATTGTAAAGCTTTCAAGTCGAGTTGCCGATGGAAGCTGCGCACGCCATCCCGAACTCCTGACTCTTCCTGCATCTTGTCCGCAATTTCCTGTGCCTTTTCTTGGGTCGATGGCTCTAGGGCTATCTCGATAGCATCTGTCAAACTAGCAGCCGTCAATTGCTTGTACGGGACAGGTGCCGGTCCAGCTCCAGCCATCGCAACAATTCCTCCCCAGAATTGCTGGTCTCCGAAAAATGGAATGATAATGGTCGGTCGTCCAAGGGAAAGCCCTGCGGCTGTGGTGCCAGCACCACCGTGGTGAACAACACATGAGACATTTTGGAAGAGCCAGTCATGAGGTACGTTGCCGACGATGAGAATGTTATCCGGCACATCCACCCTGTCGGCGCCGAGGTTACCCCAGCCTTTTGAAACGATTGCACGCTGGCCAGAGCTTTTGATCGCTTCAAACACGATTTGAGTTAGGTTGATCGGGTCGTCTACCACAATAGAGCCAAATCCAACGTAAATTGGACGGGGGCCTGCTTCCAAAAAATCGACGATCTCTTTAGGTGGAGTGTAGTCTGATTTTGCGGGCAGTACACTGAACCCGCAAATATCGATATTATCGGACCAGTCGACTGGCTTTGGTAATAATCCCGGGGACCTGCAAGTGGATTTTAATCAGTGATGGATTCAACCCCGCTGATGTTGGGCGAACTGTACCATAAATATGAGAAGGGAACGTGGAGACGATGTATCAAACTTGGCCCCGTGATTGAATCTAACGGATCTAGTTCGAGGCATTTCTTTCGCCATGAGTTAACAAGATCCCCTAACCCCTCCCAAATCATCATATCAACGATGGCATATGATACGAAGTTTGCGACTGTCGGCTTGCAGCCCGACTGATGGATGACAGCCAAAGGATGCGGGAAGGACTGAGTAGGCGACCAGGGCATTCTAAAAAGGTCACATTAGACCGTCATTCAACCTCCCGCCTTCAAACGGAACTCACGTAAACATCATATGGAGTGGAATTCCCAATCGTTGAGCACAATGGATGTGAGCCAACCCAGGCGGATTGGCTATGATCGCATCAGCAACGAATGGTCGTCGACGGTAGTCCATCGTATCGCTCCAAAGATCCTCCTTGATTTGATGTAGATTTGTACCATCGCCAGTTTCGATACAGGACTTCCAACAACCGTATATAATTTCCTTCATCTCACGTCTGCGTTTCTGGATGGCGCCACTGCGAATTGTGCTGAATGCCGGGAGAAGTGAGGGATTTTGTACCATGAATGCCATTAACTCCTCGGGATCTCCACCTATACAGAAGAACTCCAAGCCGCCATCGAGAACGAACTCTCGGAACGCAAGATGTGTTGCTAGTCGTACGCGATGCCCATGTGCTTTCAGCTCTTTTCCCAGCGCAACAAATGGTTGAATATCACCCCGGGATCCGATTACTTGAATGACAATGTTCATTTTGAGTGGGAACTCCTTTCCTTCATCCTTTGGTATCGCCTCTGGGGGTTTCTTTCCCTTCAGATCCTTTAGGTCAGATGGCGCGGTTCTGCTTTGAATGCGATTCAATAGTCCAGCAATACTTGGCCGATGTTCGTTGATATTTATATCCAGACGTCCATCACCTGCGAAAGAAATTTCTCTCTGTCAGCTACAGTCTGCAACGCTTCGCTGGATGACGAACTTAAGACTTGGACTCCGGTATTGAGCCCATCCCCAGTAAACTGCTTCCATTCCCCATGCCGACAGTGCGAATGGTGAATATCTTGCGGCCAATCTTCTGATTGAATTAACGCATGTTGGCTGGATTTGGTCCCCGTGACAGTCGGTGCTGCCGAGGCCATTCTTCACGGGAGATCGACCTAGGGTGGCGAACCAGAGCGAGGCGATTTCAATATCGGCGAGATGAATACCGTATATTACAACAGAGAGAGCGATCAGTATGTTCGGATATCAGAATATCTAGCATGCAATGTGGGGATTGAGAAATGAATTGCAGAGAATAAAATAGTTTCTACTCGATGATGTCATAAGACCGACCTTCCGGCTTCCCGGGTCATTTCACTGCGGGTCTCGGGATCAACCCAGTTTGGGGTGGACCTCGGGATCGTGATTGGGCACATTATAGAGGGATCGCAATCAGTTCTGGGGTCAGTCATAGGTGCTCGAAGTCAACAGATTGTTAGTTGACTATAGTCTACTTCGAGAGTCTACAATTATGTCATCTTACAAACCTCGCACATGGTAACGAAAAGCTAGTGCGGAAGTTTCCGATGTAAACACATGTGATAATATCATCTCTGCTGGAAAAAGACTTACGACAGAAAGTGCTAAAGCAAATCGTAGATTTCAACATGAGCAAAGCAAATTGAAAAGCTATGTGAGAATCAGTAGAGCAATTTGAATACCCCAACGCGCGAAGAAACCATTGGAGGATTACAAGGTACCAAATCCATAGCCTCGATGAGCGTCCCATCCTGTTTTATGCGAGTTACTATGGCGCTTGGAACGTCGGACGGAGACATTGTCAGAGTTATCGTGGCTCAAAGAACTGTTTCGCCCCGTTCGATCCATACCGGATGAATTTGTCAAGAAAGGATTGCCGAAGTCCTCAAAGGAACTCTTCTCCCGCAGCTTGTCCTCCCTGGAACCCCAGCACTCAGATGGCTTGGCATCATTGAGGCGCTTCTCCTCAAGGGAAATAAAAAGGCTGAAGATTCGTTCAAGTCCTGTCGTGGTGAATCCTTCTGACTTGCTCAGAAATTGGTCAAGGTCGAACCACTTCTGGGTGGCTGGATTGTCTGACACAGCCACAAAGAACTGGTAGAAGACAAATACAGGTGGGAACTTGGTTGGAACTGACTTTTGTAGCTCCTCCAGGGCGAGACGCCACTCCTTGACAAAGGCCCGGGGGCTGTTGGAGTCGTATATCAAGTTCACGAATCTGGTGTAGGTCGCCAAGTTAGAATGATGGGACTGGCTGGGCTGGTGGGATTGGGCTCCGAAGGCACGAGAAAGAATCTCATACGCGGCATGCGCGTCAGGGGCATCCAGAATGTAATGTCTGATTGTAGGATGGACGGTCGCGTTGAGCAAAGGAAGAAGCTGGCGGCTGGTATTCTCCCAGCTTCTGCAAGCCTCGATCCTACTGGGAGAAGCATTCATCATGTCGACAGCACCTGGTTTTGGGTATGAGCCAGTGAGAAGTCTGTAGTACTTGATGTCGCGCGCATCAAGTGCCCACCTAAGTGAAGTGTTCCACACGTTGAAGTTCGATTCGTTGCTGAGCGCCGGGACGAGAGTGGTGATCGGCTCTGCGAAGCCAGTGCAAGCCATGTTGACGATACGAATGAGGGAAGAGAAGGCTGGTGAGAGTGGCTTCAGAAATTTGAGTGTTAGGGAAAGTGATGAGACACAGATTGCCTCGGTGATGTAGGGAGGACTCGATGCAGTCGACTCACGATAAAATGATGGTGGGTGAAGTCAAGGATGATTGGGAGTTATCTCACAGAGCATTAGTGAGAAACTAATAGAAAGTGAAGTTAGTGAGAGATAGGTGAACGTGGAGGAATGAAGACGGGGGAAAATGTAGAGGATGAGAAAAACAAGCCGAGGAGCTCTCAGTCTGGGAACCGTTTCGTCTCTGCCCAGGTGGGCATGGGACAAGCTAAGAGTGAGGATGATCTTCCTCAACATTTCCGATGGATCCAGTCAGTTTGAAGCGACACGTCTGAAATTATGAGAAGTACCTTACAGACTTCATATCAAGTGTCTCCTGAGGTCGAAGCTGCGCATCGAGGCCCCATTACAACTGTTATCTTTTGCCAAGGGAGTCAACCACTTGTTGCTGATTTCCCAGTTTGGATACATGGAGAGAGCTACGAACCTTGAAAATCTGGAGGGTGCAAGAGTGAAGCGTCCTTTACGCTGAACGACGATGTGACATAAGGAGAGAAGAAGTCATGCCATTCTCTATTTTACATAAACTGATCTCTATGATATTTCGTTTAGCTATCGTGATCACGTCCAAAGCAACTCACAGATGAAAGGTTCCAGCTCAAAGGACCGATTCGGAATCCCACTCAAGATGGTCGGGTCATCTTTCGATAGACGTATATCATGAGGATAGCCCCACTGAGCATACAGCAGCCACAGAACACCTGGCTCTTCCAAAACACTCTTGTCTCAAGATCATTCAGAGCAAAGGTCACCGGGAAGCCGATCAAGGTCCCGAGTGCCGCAGCAGCCGATGAGATGCCGATCCGGGTACCAACTAGATTCTTGTCTGGCGACAGGTGAGGCACGATAATTGGATACATCACCGCCAATGGTCCCATGAACAAGGCAATGAGCACTGCCCAGATGATGGTACAGGCGACAGAGGTGACTCCGACCCAACCAAAGAGTAGGGCGCTGGATGCCAACGCAAAACCGCCCATGGTAGGCGCGGGACCGAATCGGCTTGACAATGGCACCGCAATGTACCGACCGGGGATAGCAGAAGCATTGCAGATAACTAGAATGTAAAAGGCCAGACTGGAGCTTGCCCCTGCTTTGAATTGGGAAAAGGTTGGGAGTAGGAAGAAGGGACCCAGTAGGCAATCCACATGAGAAACAGTGCGACACAGAAGGCCATGAACGCGGGGTCTCGGAATGCGGTAGGATCCAGCAGGGAGCGGAACTTGTTAGACCTCTTAGCTTTGGTAGCAGGAAGCATGATCGCCATAGCTATGAGCAATTCTACCAGCGTCACAAAGCCTAGCACTCGAGTTGCCCAGCCAAAGCCGAGTTTAGGCTGCAGTTGAGAGAATATAATCGGGTAGATGATACCACCTTGAAATTTTTAGTGGCTGTTTGTATTATCGAATCTGATAGGAAACATAAGTCGACGAACCAACAGCGGTGCCTGAAGTGGCTAGAAACATGGCCAACGGCCGATGTCGTTGGAACCTGGATGCAATAAGGCTGATACTAGGCACATACAGTATTGCGCTTCCGATGCCGAGACAGATGCCCTGTGCTAGGAGGATTTGATAGTACTCATGGGATAAACTCAACATCATGACCCCAAAGACCGTGGTGACGGTTCCTGTGATCATGAGCTCTCGAATATAACCGCGGTCATAGATGGGACCAGTCACAACGCCTCCCACTGTTCATCCAGGCCTCAGTTAGTCACATGGGCTATCTTTGTTCTCTTTCGCACCGATGACGATAGCATACGGATTAGAATGACGCCTTGGAGGGTGCCGATCCACGCAATCGCCGTCGAAGAGGTTGAGACCAACATGACGGTCTGATAATACTTTTCATAGGACCCGTAGGCACTCAGCAGGCCCCTGGACGGATAGTTAATAAGCCAATGGACCCAAAGGACTTGAGGGACTTGAGGGACTTGATTGGGCTCTGTGACGACTCACCATGTTGCAACATAAACCAGAAAAGCACCCAGGGCCTGCAGCCACGCGTTCCAGTCCTCTCTGTCTTCCACACTTACATTGTCACTGTCAGTTGTAATGACGGCATGGGCAATTTCAGAAGAGACCTTTGTTGACAAGGCCATGCACGACTTCGAGTAACTCAAGCAGTTTGGTTCCCTTTGGAACTCGTGAGAGTAGATTATGTGAAGGGTGTATAGAGGGTTGCAGTCATGCAATGTAAAGGGAAAACCAGAGAAGGTTGGCAGATCACGGGAGAGCAGGGACATCCTGCGGGGAACAGGGGAAGAGCTCAACGATCGCCATTCTCGCGCTCAATGTAACATTCGCAGAGCCGCCTTAATTATGAGCTGGAGTACTCCATGATTCCTACTCTGTTTGGTCATTTCACAAACCCCTCATTCCGTATGGATAGTGGAATGCATCATAGTCCACAAAATGGAACTATATCTTAACTCTAAGGGAATAGAGGGCGTTCTCCAGTCTCCAGGTGAGGTGCCTTAGCGGGTTCAGAAGGATTACTGATGAGGAAAACAAGCATTTGACTAGGCGTTTCTGTAGCGAAACCTCACTATATCACTCTAGGCTATTTGATCTAGAATGGCATCAGGTCGTTCTTCGGGAGTTGGAAGGGTTAAACGATACTGTCAGTCGCCTGACTTCTAATGAAGAGCGACTCATCATCTTCGCAGCCACACTAGCAAATACAGTGGGAGAAAGCGAGGATATGGAGGTCATTGACGGTATTGCTCGAACATACCCTGTCATTCTCCATCTAGATGCCTGCCGTGTGTTTGATCACTTGGCTACAGCGGCTGATGAGCTTCATCGGGAACCCAACCTGCATCGTCTTAGACTTCACTATTCTCAAGTTGAAGTGCCAGGTTACATCATTGACGGAGGGATTTTCGCAACTACGATTGTGGCCAGGGGATCAAATGCTTATGTGTCCCCTCCTCCTATGGTTGTACTCAAGCCCAAACTCCTTGGAAACCAGTCTTCAGCAACGGTTGAATATGTCAGAGGCATCTATAACGTTCACCATCATGGCTTATCAATGAATTCCAACTCGCTCTGGAAGGTCCTTGGGTCCATTTTATTTCCATACCACATGTTTCACCTACAACAGTTACTCATTTAGCGCGCCATTTGTCTCTGATCGACATCCATTGCGCTACGGTATTTGAATATCTTAGGAAATCACTAATTACCTGTTTATATCGCCCTGTCACGCCACAGCATCTTACATGCCAGAGCGTCTATGTGGACCGAGTATTGGATATTGCGAACGCGGCTATTCTCTCAGTCCCCGGGTGTCAAACTATTCGAGACGAGCTGGGGCTGAGAATTATTAGCCAGCTACAGAGTCGCTTCACCTACAGCACCATCTCCTTCGTAGCAGTGGATGAGCAGAATACTCCACTTGTGGTTTTTCTTGCCGAGGCAGACTCGAAAAGGCTTATTCGACCTAGCTTAATGCTGGTTGAACGATCTTCATATGAAGATGTGCATATGCTACAGGACGTTGCTATGCAGCTTTTTGGCCATGTAGCGCAACTTATGGATGTGGGAATTGAAACTAGTTGGTGGAGATAAAGAGCAGTTTCGTACAAAGATGTCCAAGATTTGAGTTGTGTTCGTAATGCAAAGGAAATCTGATCGATTCGATCTCTTATTTTGCTATATCTAGATGTACTTCATAAGTGCATGTGTACATGTAAATTGTGCGAAGGTGTATAGGGCTTTGAGGACTCCGAAAAAGTCTTTTAAAACATGTCGAGTGGGTGCCTTCGTTCCTCGGACATTCTTCCGTACCGTCATCCGACATGCCACGAAAGCCCCAAGAACTCCGAGAATTACCAACACACAACTACCACATAAACAAAATATCAAATAATAATGATTATATTCCAGCTCAAAAGAGAACCCCATAGATATCACAACGAAAAATAACAAACTATCCAGTAGAACCTTCAATCAAGAGCCTCGCTCAACCAGCCCAATAAAAAAAAGCATCAAGAATCATAAACAAATTAAATCATGGTATCAAACTTCTCAAACATCAGCTTTCGCAGCAACACTCTCCAGGTGCATAGCACCCTCCGATCTCTTCTCCCCAGCATCGATCTCCAACTGAGCCAGATCGGCATTCTTGTCATCAGAAACATCCCGCACATCAGTGAAGTTCACTGAAGGAACCCATCCAACAGAGTTCCAAGCACGCGGGACCTTAGCGTAGAGCTCGTCAACCTGCTCCAGGGAAAGACCCTTGGTCTCGTAGATGCAAGTGTAAACGAAGATAGCGCAGATGAAGCAGCATCCACCCCAAATGAAGAAGACCTTGGATTCGAGGTTCGCGTTTCCTGGGCCGCTGTTGACCATGTAGGGTGTAGCGTAGGCGATCGCCCAGTTGAGGAGCCAGTTTGTGGCGGTGGTGATGGAGAGACACTTGGCACGGGCCTTGAGGGGGAAGAGTTCGCCGGTGACGACCCAGGCTACTGGACCCCAGGAACTGGCGAAGAAGAAGATGTAGATGCAGACGAAGGCGATGAGGACTTTGTTGGAGACGTCGGAGTCGACGGCTGTGCCGACGATTGCGACAATGAATTGCGAGATGCACATGCCGACGGCGCCGAACATGAGGAGCGGGCGGCGACCCCATTTCTCGACCATGTAGAGACCGGGGAAGGTGGAGACGACGTTGATGATGTTGGTGATTAGGGTGATTGTGAAGGAGTTTTGGATTCCGGAGTTTTGGAAGAAGGTTGTGCCGTAGTAGACTGTGGGGTTTGTTAGTTGGGAGTTATTTTAGAGGAAGGGGAGGGCACGTACAGATGAAGTTGCAGCCGGCGAGCTGTTGCAGACCTTGGACGGCGCAGCCAGTTGCGAGACGTCGGGCGAGGGGCCCGCGGAAGATCTCGAGGTAGGTAGCGTTGCCGAGACGCATCTCGTACTCGTGGTTGGCTTGGATTTCGGCAAGCTCCTCGATGAGGGCGGGGTCGTTGACGTCCATGCGGCGGAGACGAGCAAGGGACTTGGTGGCTTCCTCGTAGCGGTCCTGCTTGATCAGGAAACGGGGAGTTTCGGGAAGGATAAGCATGCCGACGACGAGGATGATGGCCCAGGCGAACTGGATGGCAACGGGGATACGGTAGCAGCCGGTGTCATTGCGGTCCTTGACGGAGTTGTTGACAATGGCAGCGAGCAGCAGACCGAATGTGATAGCAAGCTGGTAGGCACCGACAATGGTACCACGGATCCATTTAGGGGCAGTCTCGGACTGGTAGAGGGGGATGGTAGCCGAAAGGAGACCAACACCGAGACCAGCGAAGAAACGACCGGCCACGAAGAGAGGGATGGATGTAGCAGCGGTCTGAAGAATCACACCGAAGACAAACACACCGCACTCCGCGACCATTCCCATGCGTCGACCCAGGAAATCAGCAGCAGGAGCGGCGAAGAGGGCACCGAAGAAAGTGCCAGCAGAGAGGAGGGAGACAATCATGGAGGATTCAGAGGAAGTGACATCGGGAAGGCCATCCTTGTCGTTAATGTATCCAGTAGAGAACATCGTCCGCCAGAATTTCATGGCCATGATGCCACTGATAGTACCTGTGTCATATCTAGACAAGAATGTTAGGATCGTGATCAAACATAGGATGCATAGACTCGGATTGGCACATACCCAAAGAGCACACCACCAAAAGCAACAAACAATCCGATGAGGATGGCCGGGGTAGCCGAGCCCACGGCATCATCTGGCTTCTTCAAAGCGAAGCCCATTGTGAATGAGATCCAAGAGATCGAAGTTCAATGCGAGTAGGTGTGTATGTGAAACGAGTATGAAAGAGTAAATTTGCACAGCAGAGAAAGGAGTTGAGTGTCAAGCGTAGTAAGTAATGTAAAATCGAGTCAGACAATATACCAGAAAAAGAAGAGGAAAAAATCTTCGCGAGAATCCCTCCTATTTGTACACTCCTCGACCCCCAACCCTCAACCACATGCACCACATGGCCATCCCCAGTCCGCTCCCGACCCGGGGAATTGCAAATCAACAAATCCCGAAAGCAGCATAGAGCCTGCGCGGGGGCAACTGAAATCCAAACTCTCGCTATCCAATCCCAAGGCAGAAATCCCAGGCAACGCCCCATTCCTTCGAGTTTTGGGGGGATGTTTTGAGCCTGGGGATAGGGTTTCGACCGGAAGTGGGGAAACATGAGCCAATGCGGTCTTCATGTCCGTCTGGGCAGTGTGGACTCAGCCGGAGTATACCGGCCTGGTTATTGGCCAAGTCAATCGGTGGGAAATTGGCTCCGAGCCGACTTTGTTCGAGAAGCATCCCTGGCCCTTGCTGCAAGACTCATCTCGATCAGCACTGCCACATGTTGAGGAATGTGGTGACTCGATCTAAAGCATTAGCTTCTTCCGGTGTACCCCGTACGGAGTATTGTTCAGATAGAGACGAAAATAGCATCATACCACATGACAGGAAAATTGTTAGTGTTGGTGGTGAAGCCGAAAACGGGGTTCCGGAATTGGCCAATGCCGATGGGCATCGGCGTCCCGCATCGAGACTGGGATTTTTGTCCCGAGTTTTTGTTTTAATTGCAAAATTAGGTGTTGTTTTTTAGCGAGCAGAGTGGCGTAGGCTTGTTATTGTTGACTAAAAGTTTAGGTAAAAGTAAAATACTTGCATCCATGCATGTAGGGGAGACTCAGATCGAACGCAATCTTCGAAAATTATGCTCCAGATTTTTCCCAGGATTTCCCCTTACTCCAGACTCCAAAATTTCCCCAGACGACTATGGGCCCGGGGATGCCAGACGAAGTCATTGTCGATGTTGTTCACCGGTGTAGGGATGTAGCGATCTGCAGAAGAGTGCGCTGTTCACCGGAGCCTGATTTAGTAGGGCAGGTCTCAAACCCCATTAATTACAGCTTACAGCATACAGCATACAGCATACAGCATACACTCGTGGAACAGATGTACGAACCAGTTTCAGTTTGGCTTTCAAACTAAACCTTTCATGGTCCTGCTCCATTCTGTATCCAGTCTATCCTGGTTTCTGTACCTCTACAAGCTAAATAGAGATTTGATACGGAGTATATCGTGCTTTAACACAGCACATATAGTGATAATACACTTTAGAAGAGCGGAATATTCACAACCCTCTAATCACCTAGGTCTAGAAAAAATCCCCAAGCTCAATACCAAGCCTGCAAAAAAAAGAAGAAAAAACTAAGACTGTCCGGCTGACGCCCAACTCTTGGCTTAAGCCAGCCCGAATGCGCTATTTTTCCCGAGACGTAGATTGGACAGACAACCCGAAACTATCGGGTGAGCGTCCCCTCCCGGAGAATCGTCGGAGAGACCGCGGCTAGCCATGTCTCGGACTCGGGAAACACGTAGGTGAAAATGTGCCGAGGACGTGGGGGTTTAGGCGAGAAGTGGCGCGGTTCTGGAGCTAGCTTATTTGAGTTAGCTCTATTTGTTTTTAGTCCGGGGCTAGTCCGGAGTATTATGTAGCACATCACACGATCACATCAGGTGCTAGGACTACCTGGATTGACGGCAAAGTCCGATGGGAATGCATGTCTATTATGTCTATGCTCGCTAAGAGAAAAAAAAAAAAAAGAGATACCAGCGGACTAGCTACCAGCGCCAGATCAGGATGAGATACACAATCAGCACCACCTGCGCCACACTTTTCATGGACTGGTACAGTTCCCGGGCGACGAGAGACGCCGTTGAGCGGGAGCGGGTACCCGATGCGGGGCGCCATGCAGCTTTGTCCTTGGAGGGGGCCGGTTCGAAGTCGTCGTCTGCACCCCGGTAAGCACTTTGCGGGGATGGAGTGCCCGCGTAGCGGGTGGATGTCAGGCCGTTGCGGCTAGCCAAGCCGCCCAGAGAGGGGAAGGTGGAACTGGACGCACCGGAGGTTTGATGCTGGTGATGTGGGAAAGAATGGCGCTCGGAGAGGGGGAGGATGGCACCGGATGGAGATGGTTCTGGGGAGTAGAGGGCGCGGTAGATGGCACGGAAAAGGAGGATGCAAAAGCTAAGGCCGAGAACGTTGAGGTAGTAAATGAAGATCGCTAGCTGGTCTGGAAGGATGCAAAGATGGTTTTGAATGGTAGGTGGTGATCCGTCTTGGAGGGCTGCTCCTGTTTTAGGATCAATTGGGTTCCACAGACTGGTGAGAACAAAGCCTGGATGACGGACGCCCATCGCCCAGGAAATGCTCTTCACTGTGATCTCGTTGGGTGAGCCGTTGAATTCCCGGTGTGAGACTTCACAGTAGTCATGATCATCGCCAGAGTAGATCTGAACGATATTGGGTCCGGCCTTGGAGACCAATTCAGTGGAAATGGTTTGTGTCAGAACATTCTGGTACTGATAGCCACCGGCAATTCTCAGAGCGTTAGGCTCGTCCTCTTGCAGTTCCTCGTCCAACGAGGACGGTGGGTAGTGCTCGCGCAGGGGCCCACAAGGGGTCCCTGGTTTGCGGTAGAGAGGGACATGGCTAAGAAGAATAGTAGGAAAGCCGGGGCTCACGTTCTCCGCCTTGTGGTGGATGGCAGGCTCGACAGCATCGACAACACGATAATCAAACATGTGTCCCTCACTCTGATTTTGGAGCATTCGTAGCTCGTCCGTCTCCGCTTTTGCCCTGTGGGTGGCCATTTTATCCAGGAAGTCATCTGCTTCCTTCCAAATCGGGCGGCTAGGGTGGTTCTCATCGCTGGCAGTGGGAGAGCTGCCTGTCAATGGATCGGGCTGGTCCATCGCGCTCAGCGAGGGCGTGTCCACTGAAACAAAAGTATGATTTCCAATCACATCGACGCGATTGGTGCTCCCAAAGAAGGACTCGAATCGGTTACGGACTGGTACCTGAATGCCGTTGCCGAAGCCAAGATCATGATTGCCAGGCAGACTGGCAAGCATTTTCCGGCCTCGTCCATCGACAGGCGGCGATCGTGCTTTTTCCCACGGGTCCAAGAAGATCCTGATAAATCGCGCATATTCTTTCTTCCAAAATGAGTCCTTGTACTTCTTCCACCGCGGTTCGGGGCTGCTACTTGTAGCTGTCGCCCATTCTCTGCCGCCGTCAAAGAGGTCGCCAAGAAATAGCACTGAGTCCGGCTCGAGGTGATCTTGTATCATGGAAAAGGATCGGCGCATGTATTGGTCAGTGTATTTGACCGTGAATGTAGATAACGGCCATGGCCGACCTGGGTAGGTATGGGGATCAACGAGTTGGGGGTCGGCGATAAAGGCAATGTGATGTGGTGTCGCGTCTTGAGGCTGGAAAAACCCAACTGTCAGTAATGTATGCAGAGCAAAAAATTTCAATCGCGGCAAATTTCACGCAGTCAACTTACCCACTGCTCCCAGGTATCCCACAGGCATTTGTTGATGCTGTCCTCGAATACCGTACGTTCGCCCCACCGGAATGAGAACATCCACAGTAGAATAATAGCGTTAGGGATCGTAAATATGCGTTTGACAAGTTTGAGCGCAGTTGTCTTGATCCCTTCACTTTCACTGTCTCTACCGAATTGTCGACTGATAGCCCCAACTGAGAGCCATTGTTTAGCTGCTGAAGGAATGGAGTCCCACGCGCGGTGGAGAATATTTTGCGATCTTGCCGGCTTATATTGGTTGAAGGATGGAAGGGAAGACGCGCCCGTATTTCGTGGGTAGGCGAATGTCATCTTTGGCTTAGCTTGATATCGATGCTAAAGTGACAGGGTGGCTCGACCCCGGACGAGACGGGGTTGATGTTCAACGAAAGGAATGACAGGTCATGCTCTGCGCATACAATATAGAAAAAAGAAACAAATGAATGAATGGCGAAGTTATTCAAAGAAGACAGTGCTTAACATGTTCAACATGGAGACAGGGGAATTTGACAATTGTTTAAGCTTCGGGTCGAGACGAGTCGATTGCCGGACATGGGGCGCAGTCACGTGCAGACCCTGGGCTGATCCATGGTCCGGAGGATAAATTTAGAACTACATTTTCGAGAGCAGGTTCGCAGGTCTTGAATTAAGAATAAGTAAAAGTACATGCAAAGGAAAGTCCGATAGGATACAACGGATATATATCCGCATGCCATGCCATCAATCCAAACGATATGATTCACCAATCAAGGCCATCATTTCTAGGAAAGCAGACGATTAATGTGGGGAATGAATAGGGCAAGTCTGTGTAGATGTAGGCGAGGATAGGAGATAGGGTATCTGAATAGGGGAACCGGAGGGTAAGATGTTTGCGGGTGATCGGTATGACAACATGAGAAAAGAAAGTGGATGATTAGTCTGCTCATGGGTGGATTAGGTTCACTTTTTGGGGCAACACTGGCCTCCTCGGGCGCAGTTCTCGTCACACTCCAAAAGACACGCTTGAGGGTCGCCTTCCCTAACACTGGCAGCACGGCTGGGAACTAGGTCATCGCCTCGAGAGGATGATGCTTGGCCATTGTCCTCGACATCACTCTCGGGTGCGAACTCGGGTTGGATGGTCGAAGAGTGAATACCGTAAGCATGAAGACAACGTCTCACCTGTCTGGCCAGGCGCATATATCTCTCCGATCCTTCGCCCTTGATCTCGGTGTCCACCTGGAGGTGAAGCGAAGCCACAATCTTGGTGTCGCTCAGTTGCCAGACGTGTAGGTGGTGAGAACCAATGACACCGGGAAGTCGCTCGATATCCTCCTTGATATGATCGATGCTCATGCCAGGGGGCACGGCCTGCAAAAGGATACGAGAAGCGGCTTTGCACAACGGGATGGCGGAAGCAAGGATGATGAGCGTGATAACGAGGGAGATGCCCGGGTCGACGTAGAAACGCCACTCGTAGTCCGTCAACCAGATGACAAGCGCAGACACAATCACACCGATGTTTCCAAGCGCATCTCCCACGACATGGAGGAAGACACCGCGCATGTTCAGGTCGTGACTGTGGCCCTTCTTTTGGTCCTTCGGCTTGGGCTGTGCATGATTGTGGGATTTGTGAACGTCATCATCGCGGTGATCGTGGATTTTAACTGGGACGCCCTCCTCGTCTGTATAGTTGGTGGTGCGATCCCGGTGACTGAGGAGACCTGAACGCTCGGAAGGAATCTCGTCCTCGTCATGGCCATTCTCCGAGTCTGACGATTGCTCATTACGATATTGGCTGGCCGCAATAATTCCTTGTCTGAGTCTCTCTGGGAGCACGGGAATATCGTCGGCGCTCACGAATACACGTCCTGAGGTGCTGTATGTCCGCGCGCCGCGAGTCTGGGTGTCGCGCCGTTTGCGGGGGCTGGATGGCTCTGTAGTAGTTTGGGTGAGCGAGTTTGGTGCCAAGCCTGCGGGTCCTCCAGCGCCAGGGATTGTCCTCTCTAAGCTATGGGCGGCAATCTCAGTGTGCTCGTGGTCGATGTAACCCCCAGCCTCGATATCGTGGTCGTGCTCATGCTCATCGTGATCGTGATCATGGCCATGATCGTGGCCGCCGCCGTGTCCGTGGGAGTGATCATGGAAGAGCACCAAACCGATGATGTTGGAAGCAAGACCGAAACACCCAACAATGCAGACAAATCGAGGATTTTGCACTTCCTGGGGCTCCACCAATCGCTGAGTTGCCTCCAAGAAAATCGACATGCAAAGAGCAACTAGAAATACGCCGTTGACCAGAGCACCAAGTGTCTCTGCTCGTTGCCACTGCATACAGCGCGGATTTGTCAGATAGCCCCATAATACTAGGATTGACGTCAACTTACGCCATAGGTATAGGTGTTGGAGGTGGTCTCCCGGTTTGCGACTTTCACGGCCCATAGACCAACACACAGGGACAGTACATCATTAAGCTATTTGCTGTGTCAGCTTTAGTCGGTAGGCAATTGCGTAGATAGTGGCGTACCATATGGAAGGAATCGGCCACGAGGGCGAGGGAATGAACGGCATAACCTAGCTAACAGTCAGAACACTCCGGTCGCAGTCGTTCAAGCTCCAGTGTCGCTCACCGGTGATTAATTCAAGCAAGAAAAATGCTGTATCAATGACCAGCAGGATCAAGATCCTGTTCGTCTTGGATAGCCCCATGACGGTGGCTCGAAATTCGCGGCGCGTTCAGTCAGAACACCGCACGATAGCAAGGGATGGGATTCCGATCGGGTGTAGGTGTGTGAGAAGCTGTAATTGACAAAAAAAGGAAAAAGGGAGCGACAGGGAGTTAGACGGAGGAGGGGTTTAAAGGACGAAAAATAAGAATCGGGGAGAGTCAAGGCCGCTGACGCAGTGGAGCTCAGAACGGCCAGGCGGAATCACCTCCGGTCTGGTCCGTGGTGGCGATACTTTCTTTCAGTTACAACATACGTTTCAGGACCTTTTGTTCATCTAATTCAGATTCAGCTCGGCTTTCAATTATTCTACAGGTGTTGCAGAGATTTCGCTGCAAAAACGAGCAAAATCATTTCCTTGTTTCGGTAGCAGCTCGGCGATCCTCGACCCCACCGCGTTCGTGAGCATCCGATCGGCCTAGCCCTGGGGGAAATTTCCCATTGGACGGACTTTATTGTTTGCATTCTTGGAGGCTTTGGTGGTTCAGAATCAACTACGGAGTAGCTGCACTTCCGATGTTCATCTGGAATAAAATCCAATCCTCAATGTCCCAAATGAAATTCCCTTTGACCGGATCTAGATATGTATATATTTGAGACCTTGAGCTCCATGAAAGAACAACACTAAGGGACTGGGTGTGTCGGACACGCGTATAACAAAGAGTTCGAAACGAACAAGTTCCCGTGGAACATACCAATGCAGCTATACCGCTATTTCAAACCTCTGCTCTGTCAATACCCACTTATACTACTAGCTCCTAAGGTCCTCGCCTCGCTAAGCTCCAAAGAACCTTGATATTGGGATATCGCACAATTTACATGCCCTAATTTTCAGCCTAGCATATCTAGCATCTTTCTACAGGTGCACGCATTGAAGGTATCGTTTTCTTTATAGCAACCCCAGATAGCGGGTGATATATGAAGCAGTTGCTTTGATAGACCGCGCGAATGCACCAGACTCAAGCCAGTTTGAAACCAGTTTCAAACCAGTATAATGTAGGCTAGACCCGGCCCTCATGCCCATACACATCCATGGACAAGGCGCCACATACGGAGTACTGCCCAAGGTTCTAAGCATTAGTTGGAGCAGCAAACCAGATATTTGCCGACATATGTAAAGTGCATGGACTCATACCTCTTTCGTTGTCCCACAAGCTATTGGGCTACTAGAAAAGCAGTCCAATTCCACATTCTGAAATTTAGGAGTGGACTTAATATCTTTCTACAGCTACAAGATATATGGAGACGCTATTTTGTTACTTTATATGGTGTACACAACGTTGATGCACGATGCTAATATGGCAGACTTGCACATGTGGGTACTCCACCCCGCCGCATGAGCTCCGTAGACGTAATGTGCGGATATGATTGGATAGGGTCTCTTGTAGGATCCACATTTCCGCACAAGAATTTGATGGCAAATTGTTGAGCCCTTACAACAACCAGGCCGGCTGGCCCAATGGCAAGGCGCTTGACTACGAATCAAGAGATTGCAGGTTCGATCCCTGCGTCGGTCATCACTTTTTGCATCTCCTGCTTACTCTTTTTACTTCAGAGTAAACGGGAAAGCATCGATCACCCATGATGTTGGTGGTTGACGTCCACTCTTTTTGAAGCCCGAGAATATACCAATGGTACCCAACAATTTTTGCACATCTCGAAACCAACTACTGAAGTAGTCCATATGCATGTAAGATTATCCGTGTGAGTGTCTGTTATTCGAATAGCCTAAAGACAGTCCCTGGATAGATCGGTAGTGGTCGTCTTTACTGCGGCTAAATGTATGTTTAGAAAGTGACTTTCGCCTTCACATTCTCAATTTAGACGTATGTAGCTCACTTCCCAGGTGCCGAGAAAACACAACCAACCCTCTCAACGCCCCAAAAATGCATCGTCGGAAAATGAGACATCCGAAAGACTCCAGATGTTATGGGCATGCCAATTTTGAAATTAAGATTTCTCTTCTACATGGACTATCAGATGCTAGACCGATTTTGTCTATATGTGCCTCTCAGGGTATAAAGTCCCAAGTGAGGATATCAAAGTATGTCGTTGTACTGCATACACCTCTAGATATTGTGACCAGAGAGAGGACCCTCAGCCATTGAGCTCATTGAAAACTACCCCGTATTCCATAAATAAACAATGGTAGCGAGTCGGGGCCAGATGGGAAGATCGGGGGCCAAAAGGGCTGCGATGATGAAAGTGGAGTCCATCTTCCTGTGATGACGAGCCACGCCAAAGAAATGCTGAGCAGAAGACTATGAATATAGAAAAGAAAAGGTAGAAAGCTACGGATACAAGGATAGTGTTATTGTTTGCCTTCAACTAACAGAATTGACAATTTTCGATGGACAGATCAACAAATTACCTAAATTACCTAAGAACTTCCGGTTGCCCACGTCAGATGTATCAAGGCTGTGCCTAAGAGGCTTGGAAGATGATCTGCATTCAAGGCCCCGATGAATCCCTCGAGAATGCTACTATTAATCTAATCTGTAGTGCAAGGCTGAGCCGCTCTGCCCAAAATAGGTGTAGTCAATTTGCTCGATATATTAGATGCGCTCATAGTCAAAAGCAAATTATGGGCTGATTCGCTGATCACATAGAGCCTCTTGAGAGGCTCCAGACGGCGATGTTGATATTCGGTTCTTTGGTGCCTGATATCTACATGTAGATACGGACCATTGGAAACTTGAGGCATCATTTGGGATAGCACTGCCACTTCTCTCAAATATAACTGTGATTTGTAGCCTATATCAAGCTACAATCTCTCGTTTCATGCTTTCTTTTTGTGGAGTTTGTTTCGACTTCATCTACTACACACTCTCCCTAGGCATCTAATTTTGCCCTTTTATTACAAAATGACCAGCGCATTTTCATCCCCACTCGGTGCTTCCAGACTGATTCTACGACTTGTGTGCTTGATTACTGGGATTGTGGCAATAATCTGTCTCGGTCTAATTGTCGACTGTGTTGGACTTGCAGTGGTACGTGGATCGCCTGATGCTGGGAGAGAACAAGTTGTCTAACCCGAGCTTCTTAGACTGCTGTCGCTGTCTTCTGGTCATTGATCCATATCATTTTCCTTCTAGCCAAGAAAGAGCTCCATCCTGCTTTCTTCATTGTGTTTGACTTCATAGCAGCAGCCATTACGGTGATTATCGCCGTCTTTGGTTCTGTGGCAGTTGCTTGGGTAAATTCCACGAACAGGGATGACTTCCACGTTCGTGCCGTTGGAATCGCAAGCGCAGCATTGATGATACTTACTGGGTAGGTTCATCTGCTTGATGAATATTGGACTTACAATGCTAACCTCCTCTCTCTAAACAGCTTGTTTCACTTGGTCTTTTTTGTCTTCGGCTGTGGAGATCTTCGAGTGCGACGACGCCAGTGCTCTCAACCCGACATCGAAAAGATAGAAGAATGAGTACATTCCCGACATTAGTTCAAGACCCTATTGAGTCATGGAATTACGAAGAACAGGTCTAATGGGAGCCACCAAGGCAAGCGATGCGAGTTCAATAATAATGCTCTTTGTTCAAATTTGATACTTTCCCAGATTACACTACCCCAGTCTACCTCAATATAGAAATATCTATTTAAACAAGCTTCTTCCGAACATCCAAAATCCGCTGAGTCGCAGCAGAAAATGCACTCTTGTCCAAAGATCCATCCTTCAACGCAGCAAGCAAAGCATTGAAAACTGCTTCTCCCTGGGTGACGTCCCGCGCAGCTGCAAGCAAGATATCGATACCAGCCTGCGCAGCCAACAATGAACGGTTGCCACTATCTCCAAAGGCAGCCAGTGCACCAGCCTCAATGGCATCGGTGATGGTGACACCCTTGAAGCCAAGTCTGTCCCGCAGCTCGTTCTGAATGATAGTTTTGCTCAGTCCAGCAGGATATTTGGGGTCTATGTCGGGGTAGATAGCCCACGAAGTCATGACCATATCCACACCCGCGGCAATTGCGTTGCGGTAGGGTGCCATATCGATCTTGTGCATCTGCTCGATGGTACGATCAATAGTGACGGGTTGCTCATCTGTGTTCTCAGTTGTGCCAGCTCCACCAAGACCGGGGAAGTGCTTGGCAGCAGCAACGATACCGGCGGATTGTTGCGCGGTGATAAATGCCGATCCGCATGTTGCAACAAGGGTTGATGAACTTCCGAACGAGCGCCCGTATCTGTCGGCAAAGTCGCCTTCCTCGTGATACACATCCAACACTGGCGCAAGGTTGACGTTGTTCTTGTAGGTCTTCAGGACAGCTGCAGCATCTTTGCCCATCTGCGTCGCTCCTGCTTCTGGATCGGCCGATTGGCCGATCTGCTTGGCGCTCTGCTCTGGTCCGCCGGGCAACCGACGGACTTTTCCACCCTCCTGGTCGGTCATGATAAACAATGGACTACCGGAGTAGTAAGGGCTTTGCGCGTAGGTTGACTGCAAAGTGTCTACTGTGGCGACAAGGTTGTCGCCGACATTTTCGCCAAAGAGGATGACACCTCCGACCTTGCCAGCTGTGATCAGGTCGAGCAGCTGAGCTGGTGGCTCAAGACCGGCGTAAGAAAAGATCACATGGTGTCCGACCTGCACTTCCAGATCAGAGGAAGCAGCCGTGGCATGAGGTGCTAGGGACAGGAAGAGAGGAACGAGGAATTGTGTGGAGAACTTCATTGTGATGATTGCTGTTTTAAACCAACTCTGCCCGGGTGGTAACCATTGTCTACATAATATAGTGACTCTCGCAATTTATGCACCCTTTCAGCACTAGCATCGTCATGTATTATCTAGATTGTTCGTCTTCAATCTGGGGAGTTGTTGAGGCCGTAGAGGGGGGTGTTACATCGATCGACACTGAAGACTTCCCGGAAGGGGAAGGTCCCGCATGAGGTTACTATCTGTCAATCGAGTCCTCCGTTGTTTAATTTGCCTGTTTCATCTCACTTCTTTCAGGGAAAAGGGGGCTAATGCTATTCAGTCTGTGTTTTGGTGTAAACTGACAGATGATAGGTAGTAGGAGTGAGCTTTATCATTTGACGTTAAACACGGGTACCCGTGGACAGTTGATTTTGCTCATCCATTTAAAGTTCCTGCAGAATGAAGCCAAGCTTTTAAAAGATCTATATGTAGGAATCGCTTCTATTGATATCGCCGACTTTAAAGCTGATCTGATCAAGCAATTCTTTCTTTTTCTGCGTTGGTAATGCTCAGAATGAATGCATATTGCATGATCGCATCGTTCTTTTCTACCCCGCACTGTGGATCTCCTGCTGATATCCCCAGCCCATGGCATTTCCTTCACAACATTTACTGGGTGCTCTTTGATCTTTGAGTGACATCCGCATATGTACTAGGGACTAGTTGCTCCGTGCTGTCAGCTATAGTTTGGTGGGCTCGATTCTACATAATTCCAGCCCCAGGAGCTATACTGATCGAACCAATTATTATCGTCTCTCCCTAATAGCCTCCCACATTGCTTTCTCGTCTCTCAAAGCAGCAAGTAATTCTTTTTTTGCAAGGAAAAAAAAACATGGATCCTTCGGTATCAATTAACCCATAGATACTTAACCGGAGCCGAGGATCCGAAAGGATTGCTAACACTCGCGGTATCGGCCGATTGCGCCCAGCGAGTGTTCCCTGCCCTTGTATTCCCCCGTACAGTGGAACATCATGATGCCACTTCAAGGTTTCATCGGCAGGATGTTGTTCGGTTAAATCAATACACGTCCGGGTTAGATATATTGACCCTTCTTGTCACTTATTGTCGGGCTATAAAGCACCCAAGGTGGAACATCCCGGTAGGTTTCAAGTGGATAAAGATGAAGCAACTCCAAATCCTGAGAGAGACTGCCTTGATCCTTTTAGACAATATAGATATTTGAATGATTCCCGGTCATCCAGGCATTCTTCTCGCTCATCAGACACTATTCTGCTTCAGGTTTCAGGCTACTATCCAGAGGCTAGATGTAGTTTCAGATATTTCATGTCCTAGTCATACACAAGCACTGGGCTTCCTCTATCCCCATGTCTCATCAAACAGACTCTGCTTTCATCAACCTCTTAATCGAGATTTTCTTGAAGGATTGGACTAGTTGGTTGAGTCGGGTTGCTGAACCGAGGGAGTATTTCAAATCTGTTGATGGAAGCGCCGAATGCTGACATATTTGTCTTATCTCTCGAACCGTCCGTTGTGGGAATATCAGACGGGTGGAACTCCTCCCCGTAAAGCTTGGCATACGCCCAACTTCCTAGCAATGCTTGTACGCTTGCGAGAAGCACCTTGGCTTTGATGGTTTTTCTAACGCCTGATGGAGAATGGGCGCTACATATTTGTTATAAAGACCGGATGGAACAGTGCTGCCGGGCTCGCACTTATAATGAATCAGGATGTGAAGCGATCAGAATGGAAGGGGAAGCTCTTGTTTATCGGGTGTTTTCTAGATTGGACGGAAAGCAAATATTAACGCTCTGCACTGAGTAGCACACTAAGTAGTCACCAAACAACCTTATTCACAGAGATCTAAAGCTATTGGGATATCTCACTTTGGTTCTTCAGCCCTAAGGGGGTGGGAGGATATCTGAGAGGCACTTTTAGGTACTTGATAGGCTGAGGAAGCTTGAACAACGAAGGAACCTAATTCTTTTCGAGAATCAAAGATAGTCGACGGTGCGTGAGCCAAGTTACTGAAGCTCAGTTGCGATCAAAGATGTCTGTAATGAAGAGAATGTGAGAAGTCACACTTTGATTGCATATGAAGTGAGATGCGCTACAAGCTCTGGGAGAGCAGCTCAGAGCCTGTCCATGCGAGGCAAATGTCAGGCGAATGTCAAAGCATAGCTTCGATCAAGCCGTATAGCGGCCGATAGTGAGTTTTGTCCTCAATCATTTTGGCAATGTCAGATGCCGTAAATATAACATCCCCCCTGCTGTTGATTGTTACACTCCAACTATAATTCGGTGATCATGAGAAGAGAAGACGACGTTGGGCCGTTGGAGGACGTCGAAACAGTCCTTAGCTTTGGAGCGGAATGCGAAGCTCATATATTCCGCAAATACGCGCGGACCACTAGACATTACATAAAGCGTTGACATGAAGACATTCAAACCGTGGAGGCCCGATACTAAGTCGCCTCTAATATAGCCCCACTCCTCACAACTTCCTAATCAGGAAGCTAAAAGTCAAAGTCTTGGCGCTCGTGGGTAGCAGCCCCGGAATCCGTTCTCATCCACAAATCATTTTGCCTCGCTCGTGGGCGAAGTTCTATTAGCCTTCTGGAAACGGATAATAATTATCAGATAGCGTCACTTTACTGGGTCGGTTCGTAGCTATTCGTACCTCATCGCTTAGCAATGGCCACGCATCCGCCATGGCTGAAAAAATCTTTAGAACATAAAAGATGCAATCTGCACTTGAGTTCAGCACAGAGAACATATACAAGACGTTGAACAAGGATCATGGGCGCATCAGAGGCTCCTGGCAAGAGCGATGAGGCCATGCCACACGATCCGGGGCCGACCAGCATAGATGAAGAAATCTTCGATCTCGAAAAGCTAGGAAGAGAACGCCCAAAATGCTTCCAAAGCGCCTGGACTGAAATATCATTTTGTCTCTCAATTTTCATGTCCCAAATCCTTGCAGTAAGTCGTTAACGATGGTCCTACGCCATGCGGCAAAATTCTGACATTTGATCAGGAATACTACATCTCAGGCTCAAATGTTCTCCTTCCAACGCTCGTCAAAGAGCTCGACCTCCCCGAAGCCTCTGCAATATGGCCGTCTACCGCATTATCGCTGGTCGTCACCTCGACGCTCCTCATTTTCGGTAGGCTGACTGACATGTTCGGCGGATATCTCATCTACAGCGGGGGCGCTATCTGGCTCACCATATCCTCGATTCTATGCGGTGTCTCGCAGACATGGCTGATGTTGATCATCTGCCGAGCGTTGCAGGGCTTTGCTCTAGCCGCGTTTCTGCCCTCTGGAATCATGGTTCTTGGCAGTACCTACAGACCGGGGCCCCGGAAGAACATCATCTTCAGTATCTACGGAGCATGTGCCGCACTGGGTTTCTTCGTCGGTATCTTCTTTTCCGGGCTTTGCGGTGAATATCTCACCTGGAGATGGTACTTCTTTTTCGGAGCGATCCTGTCGGCTATAACATCCGCGCTATCACTTTTCTCCATTCCGCGTGACTATTCTGAGACGAGGAATTTAGGCGTTCAGATGGATTGGCCTGGTGTCTGTCTTTCCATCCCGGCGGCAGTGCTCATTGTGTTCGCTATCGCGGACAGTTCATATGCCCCACAAGGATGGAGGACGCCATATATTCCTCTTTTCCTTGCTCTTGGGCTGATTTGCCTCGGAGGCATGGTTTATGTGGAAGGATGGGTCGTGAAGAATCCCCTGCTCCCTGGTGATATTTTCCGACTTAAGTATATGCTACCTCTCACGATCGCGTTGTTCTTCCTATACGGCACATTGGGCATATTCCTCCTATATGCGGTTCTTTAGTAAGTCATGCACTGTGGCCTGGACCGGACCGTGCTTAGTACTAACCACATCGATAGCATGTCCGAGTTCATGGGTGCTTCTCCGATGCAAATCGTGGCATGGGCTGTGCCTATGGGAGTTGGTGGTCTCATCCTCTCAGTTGGAGGAGGGATGATCTTCCACAAAGTCCCGGGAACAATCCTGATGTTGATATCATGCCTCGGCTACGTGGGATCTGGATTATTCTTCGCCGTTATCCCTCTTGGTGGCAACTACTGGGCTTTCGTGTTCCCGGCGATGATATGCGGCACCGTCGGCATTGACATTAGCTTCAATGTCGCCAATGTCTTCATCACAACAAATTTGCCAAAAGCAAGACAAGGCCTTGCGGGTGCGTTGATCAACTGCACCTTGCACATGGGAATTGCTGTCTTGCTTGGTTTTGCCGATATTGTTCACACGCAGACGTCCAACTTGGGTCCTCGACGTAGCTACAAAGCTGTCTTTTGGTACCAAACTGGATTGGCTATATTTGGATTTTTGATTGTCCTTTTCTTCGTGCGGATCCGGGAGGCCAAGAGTGAGCTTACGCTGGACGAAAGGGAAGCATTGGCAGCCGAGGAAAATGGCAGAACGGGGGATGTCTGAAGCGTTTGGTACCCCTTTTATTTAGAAGCCCACAAAAATAATGGTCCCTTGTGACATGTAATATAATGCTGGAATAGCAGATACCTCAAGGTACATATGCAACTGAATATGATTTCAAGACAGCGATTTTCTGTACTCCGTACGGAGTACTAAAAAGAATTTAAGAATAACTCATTTACTCGCTTACATTACAGCTCGTGGTCTGAAACGATGGCATATAGAGATATATGTCACCAAGCTTCCTAGATCTTGATCTTCGGACTCCGTGACCCATGTCCGATGTTAGGTATGTATCCCAGTCGCCATGCATCATATTGGGCACCGCAGTCTGATTTGATTGGCCTTGCAAAGGTCGTCTTTGATTGGCTTTCTCGGATCCACAATCACATGCGTGTCCCTGGAACGGTCACATGATCTAACCTGCTCCCGGGGTCTTGGCATGCACGGCTCCGGGATGAGTGCCGATGTGATACTTGATGTTTTCACATCCGGGTATATGACCCTGGTCATCCAATTGCTATTCTCTGGACCTAGAAGCAAGGAGCAAAATGACCCCTTTGGATTCTGGATGACGATTGAGATATACGACAATGGCAGTCACAACCATTCCCCTCGAACCCCTCATATCAACGGCACGTGCGGAGACGAGTCACGCCGGCGCAGCCACTCGAGATCCTCACCCCGACCGACTACAACCCGAGAAGAAAACGATTTCGAAGATGAAAGGCGACGACGATAACGATTTGCTAGTCATGCATTCCCCTGGGAGCGATCAAAGACTAGCTGGGGAAAAGCAACCCTCGACCGGCATTCATTTCCTGACCGCAGAACACCCGCTTTTTCCGCCTATGCCGTCATATGGTACTCCTTCTGTGGTGCGCAGAATCCAACACTCCGCGCTCGTTGTCGCGTCGTTCGTTCTCTCGCTGTTATTTTTGGCAGTCATTTTTGTCGGGGCCGTGCTGCGCACAGCCGGAGTCGCAATTTCAGAAGCTCATTCGCGATGGAATGGGCAAAATCCAGATACCAGGAGGGTATTTTATACCGAGGAACAAGCACGCCGGAAAGCGAGGGCCGATGCCGATCGTAGATGGGCTTTGCGCCAACAGAAAAGAGATATGGACGAAGAACAAGGGCCAGAAGAATCCCAAGAATGCCCATCGTTAGAAGGAGGCAAGGATCCTGTGGTTGCTGATGTTGCATACTATGCTCGGCGAGTTGGTCTTGATGTGGAAACTTTCCGTGTCCAAACAGAGGACGGTTTCATTATTACACTGTGGCATGTCTACAATCCTCAGGAGTATGCGGCATTGTCTCCAGAAGAAAGACGGGAGCGTGGGCCTGATGTTTTCACCAAACCGAAAATACCGAATACGTCTCGTCCACAGTCGAATCGTCGATACCCTGTTCTTCTAGTTCATGGGCTGCTGCAAAGTGCTGGCGCATTCTGCACGAACGACGAGGATAGCCTGGCGTTCTACCTCTGCAAGGCAGGCTATGATGTCTGGTTAGGGAACAACCGCTGCGGTTCACACCCAGAGCATACCAGTTTATCGACTAATGACCCTCGTATGTGGTCTTGGGATATTCGACATCTCGGAACCCTGGACCTTGCAGCTCTCACTTCGCGTGTGCTCTATGAGACTGGGTTCGAGAAGCTGGGTCTTGTGTGCCATTCCCAAGGAACTACGCAGACCTTTGTCGCTCTAGCCAAGGAACAGCGTCCTGAGTTGGGTCGATATATCTCGGTTTTCTGTGCACTTGCTCCGGCTGCGTATGCCGGTCCACTTGTGAGCAGGCCATATTTCCGATTCATGGGTCTTCTTTCTCCGGCAATGTTCCGACTCGTCTTTGGTATCCATTCCTTCATCCCTCTCATGATGACCGCCCGTCGTCTGCTTCCGCCTAAGATATATGGGACTATGGCATACTGGGTGTTCTCATTTTTATTCGACTGGTCTGACACGCGCTGGGAGCGTGATCTCCGCCACCGAATGTTCCAATTCGCCCCTGTATACGTTAGTGCCGAGTCGATGCGTTGGTGGCTCGGAAGCGAGGGCTTCGCCAAACACAAATGCATTCTGTCTACTGACAACGAGCTCTTGCTTGAGGCAAATGTGAGCCCCGATAGACGCGACCCTGTTTCCGACCATGGCGATGATCCCCGAGATGCATGCTTGGGTAATCCTACTTTAAGCCCGTGGTTTGGTCCGAGAACACCCCCGTTCGCATTTTGGATTGGAGGGTCGGATGCGCTTGTTGACGGTCGTCGGCTTCTCACCCGCTTTCATAGCGGCCGTGAGCCTCATGTGCGTCTCGTGCATTCAAAGGTTATAGAAGAATATGAGCACCTGGATGTCCTTTGGGCAATGGATGCTATCGAGCAGGTTGGCGTGGAAGTCAATCAGGTCATTTGGTCGACTATGCCTGAAGACGCACGTCAATCATGTCGTCGTCCTCGCGGTGTTAACCCAGACATGGTTGACACGAGCTAGGTCACTTATGCTATTCGAAATTTCTGTATATCTTATATGATAAATGACTTTCTGATCAAGAGTGCGCACTCCTGTTGGGGGTCTAAGAGTGGGACCGCTGAATGCATTTGGAAAATTTGCGTAGCAATATATGTACCCTAGGAACGCCCGGGCGTGTGCTCCGGCTGAAGAGTCTGAAGGTGACCTCGGGAGATTGATTGACTAAATTGCCGCTCCAGACACTATCATCACCCATATGTCGGGCTTAAGGGGTACATATGCTGGGCGATAATAGCGGTATTGCGAGTTTGACACAGGCAAGGGGTATTGCCAATCTTCCGAGGTTGGGAGATCGATGTGCACCTGGGATGTATGCAACCATCTCAAGAACAAATCAGCTCCGACGATCTGGCAATATTTGTTGATCACAGACTGTTCAAGATTAAATCCCTTCACCTTTTCCCTTCTCTTTTTCCAGCAGGAATAAAACACCCGAATCCAGGCCGGTCAAGTCAACGAATCGCCGTTTTTTACGACTCCTCGTGCGTCCCAAACACCTACACATTCCGATGTCAACCTCAATAGTGCCCGAGTACCTCAAAATATGCGAAATACAGAATCTTCGTCATCTTCGTTGCAAGATCCCCAGAAGTGTGCGTTGCCCCAGGCTTGTGCATGAGGTCCACGTAAGACACGTACGTCGACCTACCGAGCACTACGTCTACACCCCTAAGATTTGCATACCACAAAATGAGCCACGTAGATACGGAGTATTTACCATAATGCCATGTTTCCATTTCCAGTGCATAGGAAGGAATGAGCAGCCCCAGATACAAAGTTACTCGCCATGCTGGGTGGGTATGGTTGAAGCGATGATCGCGACCTCAACCCTGATTGGTACTCCTCGATCTTCAGGCTTGGCAAGAAATTCTGCAGCCCTAGGATCGAACGCTACGTCATCACATATAGATCACACGAAGATTGCGTAGACGCTGCAAGGAATCCTCAGGCAATAGTTCAGAATGGCTGAAAGAATTCGCCAACGGTGTTTTTGCTGTGCTTCCTTGACCGCACCCAAAAAGGGAAGATCTTCTAAGAAAATGATACATTTCTGTGGGATGAATTCTGTATACCCATCGATGCCGCTTGAGATGTCTTAAGATCCTATCTCGATTCTGCTAATGGCTAAACAGTTACTTATTGATGTACTATAAGCCGAGGAATATGATGATATCTATTCAGATCCTGATGAAGGTGGTTCGATTTATGAATATAGTACGGAGTATATACATGTAGCTTTCATCTCTTGTTCCTTGAGAGGAATAGCTTGATTTAGAGGCAATACTCGCTTTTTAAATGCCATAGACCAGGTAACTGCAACCTTACTAGGGTATTTGATGCTCGAGTATGAAGTACTCTGTACGGAGTAGAAAATGCTCCCTGTGTAGGCGAATGGACAGTTTCCATGACGTTGCCCCGGTGGAAAGGGGATCGGAGCCAAGCGACATGTGAAATAAAATACTCCAAATCTGTTGATCTTCAAATAAACAATAGATGGCTGCTTTGTTCCTAGATGTGGTAACGTTATATGCATGACATAGTGGCGACCCCCTTGCGTAAAACAGACCGCCTCTAAGTATGTCGCCGATCTAACAATAAATCCGCATATAGCATTTTGTTGTTGAACCTCTCGGCCATAAATGAGAAGATTTCCATGCGAGATGATTGAATATCCCAGAGTTAGTCGCGATTTTTCGTTCCTGTGACCATGAGACCCCCCACCGCCGAACTCCGTTCTATCTGCGCCATTCCCACCGATCAGGGAAATTTAACAATTGCTTCCCCTGGAGATGTCGAGCCGAGCACCCGCCAGCATCTCCGGAACGCCTTGCATACCAGCATGGTGAAGGTCTGCCCGGCGAACACGTGGGCCGGTAGCTGCCATCTATCCAGCTGTCCCTATCCCGTTCTGGTGAACAACAAGCACCAAGCTGAGATCGAAAAGCTCAATGAGATTGTGGTGAAGGTTCTGGACGACATTGTTCCAAGATGGTGGAAGGATACCGCTGCAAAGTTTCCCGAGCGTATGCCTTTGCTTCCCTACGAGGAGAAGCTTCTCCGAGTACGCATTGCCCAATCCATGATAATGCAAATGCTAATTATATGCAGTGGCTGGATACACTAGGGACTGATATGCTACGGCCCTTCAAGGAGTGTCGTGGATCTTGGAGGCCGGATTTCCTTGTCGAAAAACACACAGATCAGGGTCGTGAGGGAGAGGAGTTCTTCCGCATTTGCGAGATCAATGCCCGTTTTACTTGGAACGGCTTCATGATGAGCGCGCTTGGTCAACAGGCTCTCTCCGACATGGGGGTATATCGTGAAGGAATATGCAGTGGGACAGACTCACAAAAGGTGAGTTTTATCAGGGGCGTGGCGATATGAATTATATCCCCGCTGATTGAGGATGGGGCTAACCAGTATGACAGATCACCGACGGCCTTCAAAATCTGTACAATCCCGACCTCCCGCTCTTCCTCCTCAGGGGCGAGGAGCATGGATATGACATTCATTTATATACCCATTATGCGCGAACAGTTCTCGATCAGCGCGTCCGGATGATCAAAGCTGATGATCTGAGATTGATTCCGCATCAGGGGTCACTAGGCGGCTACAAATTATGCTGCGTGGCCGATCCCAAAGATCTTTTCAAGACGCCAAAGATAAATTTCCTGGTCAACGAAGAAGGTGAACACCTTGAGGAGATTCACCAGATGGGACTGGAGCTGCAACAACGAGAAATCCACGCCTTTGATTACGAAATGCTCCAGCAAATCAGTTTGCGGTGTTTCAACGATATGCGTACTCTGCTTCTGGTCCACGATAAGCGGATGCTGGGGATTATGCTAGAGGAGGTTGATTCTCTCGTGGCCAGACAAGTCATCTCCCCCAGCGAAGCAGGTTTACTCCAGCAAGGAATCTGCCCCACGATTCTTCCCGGATCTCATCAAATGACCCAGTTCATTGAACAGTGTCGCCTCCACCCAAACCACAAGGATGAGTATATTCTCAAGGCTGTGAGAGATGGCAAAGGAGAAGGCATCGTCTTTGGAGATAACATGACTCATGAGTCATGGATGGATCGTCTCGAAGACCAGCGATCACCACATATATCCCCTCGTGGCGTCACCAGTATCGTCCAACGCAAGATCAGACAAGCCAAGTATGATGTTCTTCTTAGAGAGAACGAGGGGGTTCAGAACTTCCCCCTTATTGGAACTTATCATGTTGTTAAGGGGCAGTTCTTAGGTCTTGGGGTTTGGCGGAGCAGTCCGGATGCGGTGTGTGCGATTAGCTATGGCGGGGCTTGGATGTGCTCTGTGAAGCAGACAGATCCCTGATTTCTTTTGACTGCAATGAATTGAAGTTGATCATAAATGCACATGTTATGTCTTAGTAATGTCTATTTCCAAATGCGAGTACCTTACACTCAAAGGCAACAGTCAGTCAAACACTGAATGTTAGATAGCAATGAGCGGTGTTAAGAGCAGTTTAAAATTAGGTATGTTTAGTTAGCAAATTCGATTTGAATTGAGAACCGCCCCCTGAGCGCTTTACACCTTCGTGCTCAATGGGCAAAAAGCGGCAAAGGGTGAGCACTAAAGCGGAAAGTGAAACCCATCTCGAGTGGTATAAAATCCGGTGTAGATATATCTACGTAGATATATGTAGAGATCTTTGACCAACCTAATTACTGCTGTAGACCTACGTATTTTAGTGGGACACGGTCATAGGTGCAAGCGATATCCGTCTGCGAACCAGCAAATGCCATTATAGTATGTTGCGTGCCGGATGGTAGAAGGAAACCGATGGGTAATCTGTAGAATGAGAGTTGGCTATTCCTCTCGTCTCTTACGCCGTACTCCGTACAGAGTACCTGGGTACCTACAGAAGACTTGAACAGTGGACACGTATCCCGCTTACATTACATAGTCAGATCACACCGCTAGGTATTTTGTACCTGGAGCCCCTCTACTTCGTACAGTACGGAGTACATATGCACCTCCATTTACCATTGCCCTTGCCCTAATACCCGTTCGGGACAGGTACATCGGTACCTATACCTGTCAGGTAGACCTGCCTCGGACTTCCATGACACTAGAAGCGGATGACAAGATATCAGTTTTTCTGAAAACAAAAAGCCTGCCTTCTCATGAGTAAGCTTGGAATGCGCAATTCTCCCATAATCGAGCTATTCACTCTGAAAAACTCCCTTTCAGCTATAACGAGTGGCATCCCAAGTCGATCTAAGCTCAGTCCCACTTCTCCCACTAACCCCGCAATCCCCCAGATTCGTGTGGGACCGGGCTAAATCTTCCGGACTCCACCATAACATTCCACTTTGATCGGGTTGCCATTGAGTCCTCCTATACACGGCAATAGCAGGAAATAGACACAAAGTCACAAATAACGTCATATACTAGTTTAACCGCGTCCCTATGTCAACCTCCAGGGGAGCTAACCTATGATCGAGCGATGAATCCGGGCCCCTGTCTGTGTGTCACGATGTACACGGCCGTGAGTAATTGAGGGCACACATATACTTAGATGGCCCTAATATAAAAGTATTCATGTACTTTTGCGCCATCTGTGACGCCAAACCTAGCCAATAGTAGCCAGTCAAGGCCAGTCAAGACCCCTTTGACACAGAGAGAATGTGGGGAAGAGGGCTACTTGGTTATGCGCCACCGTCATGATTGACTAGCACTGCCCATTATCAATTGTAGACACTATTATTATTGCCGTCAACAGCGCTAGGGTGATATAGAAAGTGCCCAAGCATCCAATGCTTCCAAGGGTCTCGCAGGGAAGATGTACTGAGACGTAAACATCGCAGTCCATGGAACCGACCAAGTCAACCCAAATCATCCACAAAACGTCAGATCCAGACCTCGTAGACTGTGACCTGGCACATGGATCTTGAAACTCAGCCGACGACTGTCTGACGCATCGCAACCATTGGCTTGCCACCCAACAGGGGTGCCTTGGATGTCACCCTTCGCTCAGTCTTGACTGACTCTTAACCCCGCCTTAAGTCAGATGACGGCCATGTATATAAGCCCTTTTAAGCATCCTGTGTCCCCTTGATGGTGTATCCTACTGTATTCTACTCCCCAAAGAACCTCTCCTCTCCTTCAACTTCCATCAGTCTGGCTCCATAAACTTGATCTTTTCATCAGCACTTCATCCCACACACTACATTCAAGATGTCGGCACCTATGGGACCCATTCTCCAGCAACTGCAGACACTCCCTGCACGCTCGAGACAGGGTCTGAACAACCTGCGCCAACGTCTTTTCCAACAGGGTATGTCCTTCCTTCTTCTCCTCCGACCGTCTCATCGACTTCTCCCTTGACAGTCATGTAGCTAACACCACGTACAGGAGAGAGACAGCCCAAAGAAAGCAACTTCCTACGCACTTCCTTCAGCGTCCACCGTCCTGTCTGGGTCACTGCCAGTGGCGGTCTATACACCAGCATGGCAGCCGTGTACCTCACCATGCGATACATGAGACGCATTGCTCGGTAAATGAGTCGACCAGCTGCTCCTGCTGCTGCTGAGACTTGACTTGAGTGGACTGTTTGATTCTACAATCACCACATGCATACTTTCTACTACACTTCGCATACATACCCCTTTATCACTTATCACCATGTGTCTACCGAGCACAGCTGTGTCTGATCGGTAGTCCTGTGTGACTGGAGGACCGTTTATGTCCCGGGCTGGGCCTTTTGTTTCTTTTGTTTGGTCGGTCATTTGCATCTTCGCCATAGAATGGCAAGACAGACCTGGCGTTTTTGCTTTTTGGGCTATTTTACCCATCCTACCTATATGATCACAATGAATATCTTTACAAGTAATCTCTGATCAGCATCGTGTAGTAAACATAAATCGTGATCCGTGACTTGAGCTAAGCTTTCTATCTTGGCCTCGCAACTTAATGCCCTACATAATGTGATAATCAGAATGACATCGCTCAGCCGAAAATGCCGGTGATGATCATAGCGGTTTAAGAGCGCGCGGTAATGATGACTGCATGAACAAACTGGGCAAAAAGGGCGATAATAGACTCGGGCCCAGCCATGGAGCGATACGCTCCCTCAAACCTCAAACCAGGGGCTAGTAAACAAAGCAAAGGAGCCTGGGACATGCTCGGGTATACTCCGTACGGAGTAAAACATTGTAGTACATACTGTATGAATACCCAATGTGTTTTCCCCCTCCCCAACCTTCGAGGTTATGTACCAGTACAAGGCACCCAAGTCCCTCGAAGTACTTCCATAGTGAAGTGAGAAATGACAGATCCACTCGGCTGAAGAATCCACCCCCAGAATCCGCGATTACTCCACTCCGCCATCGCCCAAAGGAATCAGGAGCGCGCTCGGTCCCTCACTTCCACCATATTCGATACGCGATACCTCAGGCAGACACCCTTGTAAACAACATATTGGCCTATCATATCTTGCCTGGGTATTTGGGCGTCGTAACTGCGCTGGGATTAGCCTGTAGGATGATCTCATTGCTGATGGGTGCATGCGTTAGTTTCTGTCTAGGGGCTTGGCGACCCCGCGTTTCTGTTGCTTTGGAATCCCCTTCGGATGGTTCGATGGAATGTAGGTGAGTGTCTGCTCATATCGGTATTAAGACTGGATAAGTTGAAGGCATGGCCTGACTTTTGTGCGAGATATATGAGGAGAGGACAGGGGATCGTGGGAGTGTAGTTCCCTCCGGATTTAAATTTGGCAAAAGACCGTGTGCTGGCAGCGCTGGGAAAAAACAATGTATGATTGGTTCATCATGCCGTCGGTGAAATCAATAAATTAGGTGCCTAGTACACGGTATTGTCGAAAGGAGAAAGCGTGTCTAGCCTGGCTAGGAATTGAGAACTGAGCTGTTAGTGCTGAGGGAAAACTCATCATAGAGTAGAAGGATAGACTCGGGTCCCTTATTGTGATTGAACTATATAGTACTAACATGATCTGTCTCACGGAGTACATGTAGGGAGAATGGTTCCAAGTCACGGGGCAACGCTCTTCCGCCAAGCTTTCCTTTTAACCTCCGGTGGGGTCAACCTTAACTGTCAATCCAGTCCCCTTTTTCTTGCTTTATGCCGGGCCTATACGGAGTACACTTGCTGAGAATACTCTATTGGCTATGATAAGAATGACTGTCCCACCTTTGTTCGATATTTTTTGCTCCCGGCCATCCCTCATTTCTTCCGTGAACGCACCACTTGGGGTTCTACGCCAGTCATTATTTGTCAAGTTTATATTCTCCATGTCACTACGAGTTACTGGCCACTCGGGCCAGTTCCCGGCCACTAGAGTTCTTATCCGATCTCGAAGGTAGCAAGATGGCTTTTCCGCCCTCTGGCCGGCCCTCTCTTTTCCCCTCTCGGACCTGGATCATTATCGAGAAGCTCTCGGAGCATGTATCCCAGAGGACGCGGAAGCTGAACGATGATGCTAGTAGGCCTTCATTCACAGCTGCTAAGCTTATTTCCCGCCGTTCAGATGACCCGACTAAGCTAAGTTTCATGCGGATTTGTCTTCAGGTACCTATCATCGGCACACAAGTCAGGACCTCCTGAGTTCGAGCCAGCCAGGCTGCCCCGCCTTGTGCGCATCCCGAGCTACTAGCATTAAAGACTCTACGGTGGATGAACGGCAATGTCGTCCTTGGTCTTCTTTGTTGGGCGGAACGTGTGCAAGACCAAGATAGTATCGTTCCTGGTGGATATATTACCCACTTGTCTGGGTAAATGGCCACATATGGCCTCCTCTAAGATCATCTTTGACGAATCCACTGGAGAGATGTACGTATGCACTATTTATTCTCACGGCGTGCAATTTGACCGGCCGATTGTCTCAAGGCATATCTTGGGATTTCGCCGTGTGTGCCTCGTTGATCCTAACGATGAATGGTCTAATAGAAACTGTCTCCTGTACGACTTGGCTATAGCACCATCTAGGCCGGATCGGTACCTCGACACCGCTGGGTGAACTTCGTGAAGAGGACAACTTGCAATCACAATAACGTTTGATGCTACTTTGCGCTGCTTTTTTTTCTCCGTCTTTCAGCCCGACATGGTATTCTCGGTCGAGGGAAGAGTACTCCGTCTAGATCCAAAGATCCGCCCTTCAGAATACTCGGCCTGGGAAGCTTTTTCATCAACGCTTCGTCCTGATCCGACGTTTGAACACGGACAAACTTATAAAATGTTTTTGTACGAGGCGAATTGATTGCTACTGGGGGAGGAGTCATTTACAATTTCACTGCACTTTCAACATGATCATCGCTTCGCACAATGCAAACAGGTGGATCCCAACGCGGGCCTCCAGAATATATATATCTCCAGGCCGACCATTGCGTCTTATCACCTACCTCACATATCACTTACTTGCTGGCAGATGAAGTGACTCACGACATAGAAGACTGTTCGATTGGCCGGATTTCCTAAAAAATATCAGATTGGCTAGCATGCTGTTGTTGCTGGCGAAAGTGGTCCAAGCAACATTCCTTCCCAAAATGGAACTTAGTTCGGCATTATGCGGTTTCTTCCATCAACCAGCCAAGTGGCCGAGCAGTAACTCAGCCATCACATCTTCCTTGGTCTAGTGGTGATGATTTCCGCTTGTCATTAACACCGATAAGCGCGGGAGACCGGGGTTCGATTCCCCGAGGGAGAGATTTCTTTTTTTGCCTTCCAGGAGGTTGCTCCGCTGGATTTAAATTAAACCAACATCATCTGAGCACCAGGAATGATTGTTGCACAGGACTGGAGAGGTGCAGGTGTTGTCGCCGTCCTTGATGCGATATGACTACTTGCTTTTTCATCTGTCTCTCTAGTGACAGCACGCGGTCTCAACTGGACATTAAGGTGATTTGCGCATAATCTCACGCACGTTGCGCAATATCCACACATGATGAGTTCTTTAGGACAAAGTGCATGGAGGTTTCGGTTGAATGTCGGATTTCAATGCGAAGGCTTCAAACAATGCGAGTTGGATTTGCTTGTCTGAATTATCATTGTGAGGGTCAGTGTACGCTACTTTAACATCCATCTCGATGGGTAGATGTACCTGGGACTAACTACGCCACCATCGAATATTGCTTCTGTCGGGTCTTCCTCTGAGGTCAGATCTGGCGACACAGAAAATTGAAGGCCTTAGTGTACAAGAGTTTCTGTCTTTCTGGAGCAGTCATACCTAGATTAGTGTGTCTTACGAGAAGATGAGCCCCTTGCGCCTTAGGTCACAAGCTTACTTTCAGGCAAATCGCTCACCAGGTCACCAGGTCACCAGGTCGTGGTAAAAACTAGTAAGCATTTACTAGTAATAAATAGTAGCTTATAGGGGTTACCTAAGAGGGTTAAATTACCAATAAATTATATAGATGTACTGACTAGGTCACTAGGTCACTAGGTCATACCTGAGCTTTATAAAAATATTCGAACCATAAGTTACTAGTCATTACTATTACACTGAAAGTTACTAGTAACGACTATAGGAGGTACTTAGAAATCTAACCTAGTGACCTAGTGAAACGTGTATTTTATAGTAAAGATACTTTTAAAGTATAATTACTATAGATTATAAGGATTTTACTAATTTCTCTTAGATATAACTAGTAACTATTAAATTCTAGTATTTTATTACCTCGTATTATATTAGTATACTTTATAGGAATATATCTATAGGTAACTAAGAGAGACTAGAAGAGACTAAGGCTTAGGTAATAGTAATAACTAGTAGTAATTAGTAGATACCTAATTTAGTAGACTTATAATCTTATTACTTAGTCTATCTTAGGATATATAGTTATAAATATATTATATAGTAATTAATTAACTAGACTTTATAGGAAAAATAAACTAAATATAATATAGGGCTTTATAACTAATTACTATTAACTACTAAGAATAGATAGTAGCTAAAAATAAAGGCTATTTTTAAGAATAATTATTATATCTTACTAGTAGAAACTACTAAGATATAGTTATATATAGTAACTCTTAATTTTATTCTATATAATTAAATTATAGTTAAATCCTTAAAGTTCTTCTCTTTTAAGGCGTTATAGCTTCTTTAGCTACTTTACTCTTTTACGTTAAAACTCTACTTTCTCCTCTTTTATAGTCTACTATAGCTACTAAATATCTCTCTTACGAGACTAAGAATTATTAGCGATAGCTAGTAATAGTTAGTAACTACTAGTTAGAGTTAAGGTAGGATTAAATATACCTAAATCCTCTCTCGTAAATACTTACTCTTATTAATATATTACTAAGATAAAGACTAAGCGATAAGGTTAAAAAAGATTAGTAGGGTTAACTATTAATAATTAGTAGGAGTTAGTAAAAACTAGTAATTTATCTTACCTAGATCTATCTTAGAACTTAAATCTATTAGGCTTTAATATAGAGGGCTAGAAGGCTTAGGATCTACTAGAATTATTAGTAGTTAGTAATAGCTAATAGATACTAGTTATAATTAGATATATCTAGATTAATAATCTCGGAAGGGAGAGATTATAAACCTTAACTCTATCTCTACTAATCTCTATAAACTCGAGCCCTTTTTAGATTTATTAGTACTTAGGAGGGTATATTTAGGATTAAATTCTTAGAATCTATATTAAATTAGTAGATATATTTAGTAGTTATTAGTTATTACTATAAGGATATACCTAGATTAATATTATAGACTAAAGTATACTATCCCCGATCTCGAGGTTAACCTTAAGGTCGACCTTAACTACGATTATAAGTCGGAGTAGATAAACCTAAATATAATTAGTAACTACTAGTTATTATTAGTAGTAACTAGTTAGTAATCTTATCTTTTCTTAGTATTAATAGTTAAGGTATCCTAGCTAATATAAGGCTAATACTATATCTTCGATAAGTTAAAATTTCCTATATAGTCTTATTATTATATTTAAAAGTACTAAATTTTTATTAGTAATAGATAGTAATAATTAGCTATAGCTAGTAATAATTACTTATCTCTTAACTATACTTAGAAGAGATAACTAAATTCCTATTTCTTAATTAATATAAGTATATAAAGCCTCGGTAAGATTAGTAGTTACTAGGTATTTATAGAAACGACCGATAGGTATTAATAAATAGTAGTAATTAAGACTACTTATAATCTATCTAATTACTTTATACCTTATCTATTATTATACCTTAGGATTTTTATTATATTATAATATATTAAGTAGAGAATTAACCTCTACTTTACTTATAGTATATAGAATCTAGTTTATAATAATAAACGCTAATAATCCCCGGAAAAGCTTAGTAGTTCGTTTAAAGTAGACTAAGTAATAGATCGCGAGATACTATATATACTCTTACTAATCTATATTTTAATTAAGATATTAGTTAGCTAAGAAGCTACTAAGTCCTATAGATTATTAGTAATAACTAGTTAATACTAAAAGAGTTTAATAGTTACTATAAGCCTACTTTATATATATATCTATAATCACTACTTTAATACCGGTATAATAAATATAGGCCTAATAAAGCTCTTCTCTAGTTACTTCTTAAAGCTTCTAGAAAAGCGCTTTAAATAGAAGGTAATATATTTACGTAGAATCCTTATTAACGAAGGTATATATAAGGATAAATACTAACTAATAGTAATTAGTTAAGCTTAAAAATAACTAATAATAACTAGTACTTACTTCGATTAAGAGTTAGATCCTTTATTATAAATATAATCTCGAGAATTAGCCTAGTAACTCGTTTAAAGGTTATATTAATCTAGAACTAATATATATATATAAAAGTATATATTTAATCCTTTATAAAGTAGATAATTCGGAGATTAACCCTATTATTAAAAAAATCTTAGATCTAAATATCTTTAGGGTTCTTACGCCTTTTAATAAGGTAGTACTAGATAATACCTAGTAGTTATTATTAGTAGCTAGTTATAACTAGTAAAAATTAATAATTACTATTAAATCCTAGTCCTAGAGGATTTTATAAAATATACTCTTTTTTAATCTATATAGAGATCTTATTATAGTTTATAAGAGAAAGGTAAAGTTTAAAGAGATTAAGTATTTCTCTCTAATTTAGAAAGTCCTAGATAATCTTACTACGAATAAAGCGGTCTAGTTAAAATTTGTAAAATCTAGTTACTACTAATTTTATATATATACTATATATTAATATTAATAGCTATATCTTATATATTAATTAATAGGTTTTACTCTTAATTTAATTTAATAGCTTTATAAGAAGGGGGGAGGGTACTAATACTCTCCCTATAATATAAAAATAATAAATAGAGTTACTTAAAGATCTTATAGAATAATATAGGTAAAAATTATATTATAAGGGATAGTTTTAATTAGGCCTTTAGAGAGATAAATCGCTATTAACTAGTAGTTAGTAATAATTACTAATAGCTACTAATAGTAATTACTTATAATATTATATTATATATCTAGTAGGGTTTACTAGGAACTTATAGGCGCTCGTAGTAGTAACTAGTAACGGGGTAGATCTATTAACTAAAGTATAAAAATAATCTAGATCGGTAGTATATATATCTAGGATACTCTATATAAAATAGGATTTTCTATTATTCTATCGATAACCTAAGTATCTAAGAAACTA